CACATCATTTCAATGGTACCAGTCGACGAAGGAATAGGCTGATTCGCTGCGCCCGCAGGCTCCAGCCAAGTCAAGAGGCGAGGCGCAATACCCGCCATCCAAGCCTAGGGAATCAAAAACTTATCATAATATGCTGTAGAGGAGGTCCGAAAATGGTTTACTTTGTAGGGCAAAGGGGCGTCAAAGGAGACATAATGTCTACCCACAGATCCGTGCCGAAAGCATCCCCTCGCTAGTCAATGGCCAATGTCAAGTGGTTGCGTGTCGACAGGCCGAGGCAGGTCGACGAGACCTTTCTTTACTTCATATGGTGAGGTCTTTGTGTCATGTTTTTCACAACTAAAGCTTACTTCCATTCATCCACAAGGACACATGCCCAATACCGGCGAATATATTGGGCAGTGAACCATCTAGCAGGCCGTTGTTCAAGAATGTGGGAAGATGCTCCATGTTCAGCAAGCTCGCGATCTGCCTTGCATGAGGTGTTATACAGTTAGTTCAAAACTATAAACAGTTCGCAATCACATTTTGTGAAATCACTCGGCGGGATAGGCTCGCGCGCGTGGAAGGCGCAACGGGCAGGGCAAACGGCTTCAGATGAGAAAAGGTGGTTCTGGTTAATGGGCAAAAAAGGCTGCGAGCGAAGAACATCATTTTAGTGATTATCCTGTCGCCTGTCACTAATGTTCGGAGATAGTATCAGAGGCGAGCGGAAAAATTAAGGGTATCAAGACGAGGTAAAGAACCTCACAACGAGTCTCTCATGAAGCAACGATCAACATTTGCGTATCAACCGCTTGGAAGAACAACAGCCTTTGGCGTGCCAAATTAGTATTCGGAGCTTCTCCGTATGCTTCTCAACATCTTGCAAGGCTAAACTCCCCTTGAATCCGCCATTAAGAAGTACAGCAGCTATGTTCTGGCGATGCTTGGGTAGTTCATCGGAGGTATAAGCTCGCAGCGGATCGATGCCGAGACCGAGGCAGATACCGTTCAAAATTGTATGAACACCACAATCGTACCCATTTGTCTGAGATGGGGTCGAATATTGAACAAAACGCCACTCATTTGGAAGGAACAGATTGCCGAGGATAGTCTTGATCCATTCTTGCACGAGCAACATACGACGTTCCTGGCCTTTAGGATCCAGGGAATCGACATGCGCAATTGTTTTCTGGTTCGGGCGAATAACCATGAGGGTCCAGTGGTTCCCCTCACAGATCGGCAGCATGATTACCTCAATATCGAGAAGGTTTTCTTTGTTAACACCATGTCGTCGCAGCATCCTATCAGTGTGTTTCACCCCCTGTTCACTCAGTCGCTTATAAAAAAGGACCCGAGCACCAAACACTTGCGCGTCCGTGTCTTGACGTCGCCCACGCCTGCTGCGTCATTGATAAACTTGTCAAGCCAAAGAAGGCTGCCATTCACCACGGAGTCATTCAGCCAAACTGTGGGCGGCACAAGGCGCGCAAAGTCATGTTTGAGGAGATCTGCTTCGAGCGACTTTGCAAGGGGACCTCGAAAATCCTGCGTGTGCGAGTTTCGCACCCGTGCCGCCCATTCGGGGCTAAGCGGGGAACAACGAGCTGTTCGGCGACCGCAGGTGCCCCAATCTACGGGCTTCGTCCTCCACGCGTAGCTGCGACACACGTTCCTCCTCTTCCCTAATGCGCCTGCTTTCTGCTTCTCTCCGACAGGCTTCTTCTTCCTCCAGGAGTCGCGCACGCTCGCGTTGTTTTGCTATCTCCTTTTCCCGTTCTTTCTCTTCCCGTTCATGACGTTGTCGATCAGATATCAGATTTGACACTCTCAACCCTTCAAAGGAGTCAAGAACGCCGGGGAGATCATCTTTCACAGTGATAGAGGCTCGAACCTTATCCCTGTGCTCTATGTTGCACCACTTAAAACAGCTGAGAAGCTCTTCAGGGTTGCCGTCCTGAATTGTGGCCGGCCGCGTTTCCTGGCAGGAGGCTGCGAAAGGTTCAAGGGATTTTGACACAAACGAATTGGCCTGCCGCCTAGTGGGTTTGTTTCGTCTTCTGGTTGGCGTGACGTAAGCTTGTCTAGCAGACTTGCCTCGTCTCCGTATCTCCTGGAAAAGTACGGCCCTCGTATGTCGGTCCACTTTTGGGCTGGATGTCGAAGCATGTATGTCAGCCACAGATCCTTCATCCAGCGGTACTGAGTTTGGAGCTGTTGGACGAGCGCCACCACATTCGTATTGGGGCCTAGTAGGCATTGGCAAGCTGGAAGGCAGCTGACAGCGTTTTGTAACATATCGAGTTCCCTCTGTTGAAAGTTGTGACCTCACTCTCGCTTTCAAGCGAGCCCTGATTGCGTCTAAAGATCGCTTATCTTCACGGGCCACGAGGCCATGCACAGAGGAGTCGTAGCGTTCCCGCCGCCGTCGTTCGTGCATCTCATTCACAGCCACAGCGGCAACAGGTACTTCAGTAGGAAAACTCCCAGGCATCTCCGACCGCCCTTGATCGGGCTCTTCGTAGGCAGCGAACGGAGGTGACGAAGAGTGCCGTGGTGGGAGGTCGGCACTAGGTCTCCGCAGACACAGGCTTCGAGCCATCCCATTGCTGGCTAAAGCCTCTAGGTCTCTTAAAAGAATTTTGATGGGATCGCAAAGAAATTTCTCTCGCGGTCGGATCCAAACGCTGATTTGGCAGAGCTGGGTTAAAACACTCCTGACCATGCGGATATCCTCTTGGGCCGTTGCGCTAATAGGGCCTCGCAAAAGCGATTTTGTAGGCGAACCTTCCGACATTTTGATATGGCCTGGCGAAACAGAATAAAGCCCAAGGAGAACCGATCGAGCGTTCTTAATTGCGCGAGAAAGGAGGCATCGCCTTTCGCTGAATTGCATATCACAGTGGGCGGAGACCCTCTCATCCACGTCTATAAGGCCCTGGACGTAGGGCATAAATCCATCTCCGGCGACGAATCTGGTCCAAGGACCAGTCTGAGTCCCGCTCAAAGGGTCATCGGGTTTATCAAGATCATCTAATATTTGGTCAAGGACATTTAATACTTCTCCCACGCAAGCCATAGTGGTAGCCGCCGGGCACTGAAGACTCCACTGGGAGCGGCCCTCGTTGGTACGGGACGGTTCTGCACCCGCATGCGTTGAGAAAGGGTGGGATGAAAGTGTCGAAGTCTCAGTTAAGCCTAGAATTTGTGTATCGCTCGGACCGGAGAGCTTTGGTCGCTTCATACGAGTGTCCCGCCCTTCTCCTTCATGGGCGCGGCGCTCAAATAATGAGCGGAACCCCCAGGATGCTAGCAGAGTTTAGCAATGCGTCAAACAGTGGACAAGTTCAGTTGGCTACACACACCTAATTCGGCAAGATGACCTGGCAACTGGCGAGTGCCATTTTCCAAGTGTGCAAGTATGCTCGTCATGATCCTACAGAAAATGCGTACGGCCACATCAATCCAGGAGCATCCCGCGGTTCTCGTGCGTGCGGCGGGGACTGGCGTACCATAAGACAAATGCAGAGTGTCGGGAAGGTAGAATTGCTATGGCGTGTAAAGAAGCTCAGCACCGCATCGCCAAATGTCGAGATAAGTGATGAGCTGAAAAGAAGAACGTTGGTACGACCACGGCACGAGGTGAAATGAGGAAAATTTAGGTCTGGAAAATCCGCTTTCTCCCTGAGGCCTCTTGAATCCCGGAACGTAACTGAGAGAGGGCGGTGCCTTAAGCCACTTCGTAAATTCGTTGGCGATTATAGAGAGACGGCAATGTAGAACACAATGTGTTGATTCTCCTTTTCTTCTCCTTGAGTTATCCTTTTTTATTTTCAATTTCTTCCGACCTTGTAGACATAAATGTGAAAACAAAGGACTACGGGCTTCCCAGGGCAGAGCGTCTTGTCTCACATTGAAAAGGCACGTCGAGAGATTTATTCAACGGTGTTGATTATCGCCGCGGTACAAGGGGCGCGCTCATAGATTTCGTTGTTTGTAGAGGGTAATCTAGACAAAGCGACAGATGTCAAGTGCGTTGTACGTTATAGATAAGCAAAGCAAGGTGGCTTGGGGTTCCGAAATTGAGAACGAGGTCTTCTCCACAGGTCCACCAAGGACAGAAAGCTTTGTGTATGAAAGGCTTCGGGGCTGGTTAGGTATGGAGGAAGCGATAGTCGAGATACGTTTGTCGTAAGCTTTTGATAGCCGAATACTGTTCGAAAAGCCCCTTCGAACTCGGTGTTCTGGTGTTATTCGTTCCCGCGATGGTTAGGAAAGTCGTCAAGTTCTCTAGCGATCTGATGGCGCAGGTGAGCACTATAACGCACTTCTGAGGTATCGGGCCAAGGCCTTGCCTAGGCTGGTCATCAGCTCAAACGAGGATCGCAGCAACAAGCCCACAACTGTTTTGAGGGGGTGGGAAAAGGGGGATTTATTACAGTTATAAGTTAAGTTGATGTTTAGTGAACGTGGTTCTGGGGAGATCGATTGGAAGACACTCAAACACGACGGCGGGACGAGCCACGGGCTACGCGCGGATTGTTGTGCCACAGCCGTTGTTACATGGCATGTTTTGCCAAAACTGATGTGCTGGGTCAGCTTTGCTCCAATATCATGGATGGAACGGCGTTTGATTCAAGGCTGGTTCCGAATGGCCTTCGAAGCAAGGGAGGCTCATGCCTTAGGATCTCGCTCGATCTTGAAACTTGGAAAGTGCTTTCTATGAGGTGAAGTGAATTTGGAAGTTCTGACCAAAACGATCCTCTCACCTCGATCTGTGCTTAGATAATCCACTGCACGCTCCCGCCCCAATCACCCGTCAATCCGTCAATCCGAGAACGATAAGAGGCGAGAGGTACAGAAAAAACATTTGAAGCTCTATTTCAACAGTATTTCTTTTTATATTTATGAAAAAAACTTGTTTGACAATATCGAAAAATGGTTTGAGATGGAGAGATGTACAACATGCTAATAGTATTTTGATAAACAGACGGGATCAACTGAAACTCGCGCTAGCCTTATAGTTGCGCCGCAACCCCTCCCAGACTTTTCGTCGCGAATGCTCCAAAATACTCATCCAGCGCATCAACCGTGCCAGTGCCTTGAACAAGACTTACTACCGCACTCACATAACCGTCTGGCCTTACAACCACTATACCACCGTGTTCTTCATCTAGTCCCATCTTTGCATGGGCGGCAGCCTTGGCGTCGGGAACACGCCTGTCTAACCTGTCATCAGCATAGACGTTGTCCCTGTAGCGAGCCAGTACAGGTGGGAGGTCCCTTGTAATTTCTATCGCGCTTCGTTTGCTTGCAAAGATCGTGCAGAAAGTATAGAGAAGACTATGTGGGTTGTGCTTTTCGTGATGCGATACGGTCTTTTCATCAGGCCTTTTGTATGTTGTGAAGAATGAAGACTTGCGCTCCAGGGCGCGGGCGAAATCTTTCAAAGCAGCCTGGTTGGTCTTCGGATTGCCGGCAAATACAAGGATACGAAACGAGCCGTTAAGAGGAATGGCATGTTCCAAATGGATGACGTTCGCATCCACAACTCTAGTAACGTCGGCATTGATCATGATACGTCCGGTCCGCAGCTTCGTTCCCTTCGGGTTGAGGAGGGGAGATTTGGCAGGGTGGGACGGTGACCAGTTCAAAACATTGTCCCTGTATGCCACTCCGTAGCCACTGGTGAACTCACAACTCTCCTTAAACGTCTTGATAAACTCGTTATCATCATTAGAGCGATCTTCTGTTCGCGACGCCGCTTCGACCTCTTTGGCTTCTGGGGCCCTTTGAGAGAATAGCTTGGCATATTTGTTGTCAAAGCTCAGGAGAGTTTCGGCGACCTCCTTGCGTTCGGACTCGTACGTGACCAAGATGTCGCGTGATGCGAACTTTGCTCAACGTGGTGGATCTTCCAAGCCAAGTTGGCTGCATCAAGAAACGCGGTATTCATGCCCTGGCCTGCCTTGGGCTTTAAAACAAAAACAAGAAAGTTAGTATTGTCCAATCCAAACAAGGGCAAGGGAAGGATAAAAAGAACTTAGGCTTACGCTGTGAGTGTGGCATGCGTCGCCGCCCAAGAAAACTCGGTTATCGAGGGTATACCGGTCCGAGATACCCTGGCCGATGGGGTAGACCGAATACCAGACAACTGACTCCCACTCAATCGAGTAGGGTTGGAGAATCTTCTTAGCGGAAGCCTGAACTTCTTCGGCAGTCGCGGTTTGCGTGGATTGAAGTCCGAGTCTGTCGACGTTGCGATCTGGATATAGAGTCGAACCATGTTATCTTCACGAGGAATTATCATGATAGATCCGTGGTGGCTGTGGATTGTGCATTTCATCTAAAACCACAGAAGATGTATTAGAGAGTGTACAAAGTGTGTGGAGTGCTTGGATACGAGATTTTCTCACTTTAATATCGGGAAAATCTGTCTTCACTACACCGTCCATAACGCCCCATACATTTTCGATAGGGTCCTTGTGTCGAACGGCAATCCCAAGCTGCTCTCGAATGAAAGAGCGCGCACCCTCACCTCCAAAAGGTATTTCGCTCGGACAGTTTCCTGGGTTCCATTGTCAACGTGTTGCAGCTTAACTTCAACCGGGTACTCCGATCCACTGTTGCCCTCGGAGGTAAATCCAGTTATCGTCCATGGCCGTTGAACCTCAACTCCGTTCTCCAGGAGGTCGTCAATGAAGATGGATTCGATGCGTCCTTGATGAACAAGCGAAGTGAATGGGTACCGAGCATCAATAAAATTGGGACAGCTCGCCCAAGTCCCAGTGCGAACAATACCTTCACTTCCCGACTGAGCAAGAGGATCCCAGAAAGCTACCTCGTAAACTTTGGCAGGTTTGAACTTCATGAGGGCACGCTTCAACCCCATGTTTCGAAGAAGGTCAAGGGACCTTGGCTGGATGCCATCGGCCCTACCAGTAGCTGTAGGTCCCGGGCGGTTGTCGATATGCTTAATCTTGTAACCCCAACGCGCTAAGCATGTTGAAAGCATCAGGCCAACAGGGCCGGCCCCGACAATGACTAGGAGTGAAAGCCCCGCGTTAGTAAGTCAGAGATAAGAAACGGTCGGCCACTCTTTGAAACGACTAAATGATTGCAACATACCAATGTCATAATATTCTTCGGCTCTGGTAGCCATGCTTTCTTTTACAATGAAAAGGCTAGAAATCCGATATGGAGGCAAAGAAGTCCGGCTACAAACAGTAGAAGACAGTTCTTTTGGCGATGGCAAAATTCCGTGGTTTGTGTTCTCAAAATCTTCAGCGTCTGCAGCGTTTGCGAACAGTGGTAAGCTGGTAGGAAAATGGGTGTAGAGAAGTGGACGGGACAGGGACTAGATATACCAGCTCAAACTCTCCGAGAACAAGGCAAAGAGGTTTTCCAAGCGCAACCAATATGATGGGAAGATGGTGGCGGACGCTGGGGCGCGGCCCCAATCGCAAACGGCATGAAAACCCGGTAAGGTCACATACCAGGTACGCCAGAGTTTGACAGCCGAGAGAGATGAGCGAAGGCCCACTTGATGGGCAACAGGAGGATGCGCATTGGTTCGAGGCCGGGATTCGGGCTCACAGGATGGCAGTGGTGAACTAGCCGGTCTCTCCTCGCGGACTTGAGCAACTCCAGACCTTCGAACTTAGCACCCTACAAGTACAACACTTCAATGGAAGAGAGGAGAGCCGATCAAGTCCTCCGACGTCAGTGGGGCTAGTGGGGGGCTAACTCCATACACCAACGCTATCCTTAATAGGTTACAAGCAGGCGCTCGGGTAGTAGAACCGGCACACGTTATCGGTTAAGAGAATCGGGATCCTCGTACGAGTGGGGCCGGCCCAGGGTGGGGTACGTCGCACCTAATAGTGGAAGAGAAAATTTCGGCAAGGATATGGATAAAAATTCGGGGCGTTGTCTGGGGTTGGGGCTTGTGCCTCTTCCCGCAAACCTCTCCCTTGATCAGAGTCAAATTGAAGTCATTGGATGTGGCCGAGCTACCCGCCCCCACCCCACAATCCTTTGAGGAGCTGTCCCGAGTGAGTGTGCCGTGACATACGTTCACCAGGGGGCTCTCCTCGACCGGGTCTATCCACTAATGGCACCTAAAATTCTCAAGCCGTTATTGATTGCAAGTTCCTGGCGACGGGGGCCGCTGGGCGGATAGTCAGCCGGCACATCGCGTGGCAGGGATTGATGTCATGTGGCGGGCACGCCCTCGGAAAGTATTTTACACATAATATATCTGGCTGTAATAAAGTGGTAGGTAAGACGACCAGAGACAATGGGGTCGAAAAGCATATTTATCTCTTATATCTTTATACATCCATGGATCCATGCACACTTCAAGGCGGCGAGCATAGTCCAGGTTTTCTTCTATTCTTATGATCGTAGATAGATCCATCCATGGATGGATCTACATCTATTAGCTGTGTTATTACGCCAATACCGAGGTCGGCACTTAGAAAATGGTCAGCGTAAGCTAACAGAAATGGCCAACTGGTAGCCAGAGTCTAAGGACAGCAAATCCCGCCAAGCAGGTAATCCCAACCCAGCTCATACCCATCCATCCATGGATACATCCATACATTGCAAGAAGAGCATGTAACCAAAGAGCGCGAGGGCGTAGTTGCTAGACATCGACTCTTATCGCAATGATTTCCAGGTCTAGGCCAATAGAGTGACAAACTAAGTCCCTAGCCAACGGAGGAGTCGACTCTCACAGTGAACCAAATCCATCTTGCCAGGTTGACGTGTGTAAATGCTAGGGTGTGTGGGACCGTGGAGTATCGGTGACTAAGCTAGGTCGAAAGGTGTGAGCAAGCTTTCAGTGATAAGAGGAAGCTCCTCACCCTCTTCTCTCAGTTGAGGTTCGCGAATGCTACATCCTGCTTTGCCTCAAGTTTCCGTTTATTGCGGTGCATCTTGTTTGAGGCTTAAGGTATTATGACAAGGACTCAATTATTCTGCGAGACCTAATCTCCCCTCACAAACTCATTTCCATCCATACTAATTATATGGCTGGAGTAGCAGATGGCATTAAATTCATACGGGATTGAGACATCCATGGATATACAAGTTTTGAGGGTCTGGTCAGCTGGAATCAAGCTAAGAAGATGATCTCTTCGGCTATCGCAAACATATTACATGCGTGGTTGTTGTGTTAGCTCGCATGGATTAGGCTCCTGGCCCAGCCTCGTAACAATGCACGAACCCCACCATGATGACAAAGTCCGCTCCGCGGGGTGATGACATTTCCCACCCTCTCCAACATCGTTTATCGCAAGCTTCGCCGTCTTCCCCCAGCTGAAAGAAGCAGTCGCTGAACAAAGTTCGAAACAGATCTACGGCCAAATAGCGAAGTCATCTCAAGCTCCTAGCGGCCTACTCTTACACATTTCCAGATCACTTAACCACGCAAACCCGTTACATTTCATCTCCCCTCTGGTGTGGCCATGACCGTGAATCCTACCCTGAACTTCATCACGTTCAACCAGGACCACAGCTGCCTTGCAGTCGGTGAGTTCATGTTTTCCTTTTGAAAATGGTCGAGCTTTAATAGAGAATTAGCAGCAACTAGAAAGGTTACTGATATATATTGTCATAGGCACATCAAAGGGTTTTAGAATCTTTCATACCGATCCATTTTCAAAGATTTTCAGCAGCGATGACGGAAACATCGCCATCATTGAGATGCTTTTTTCCACCTCGCTCGTGGCTATAATACTATCTCCGAGGCATCTAATAATCCAAAACACGAAGGTCAGTGGTTGACACAATTACGCATGTCCTCTATCTGCTCTAACTCTTGAAATTAGAGATCATCAGTAATCTGTGAGCTAACCTTTCCGTCCGCCGTTCTTGCTGTGCGCCTCAATCGTAAACGTCTCGCGGTTGTACTCGAAGATGAAATATACCTTTATGACATCTCGAATATGTCCCTACTTTATACGATACCTACCTCCCCGAACCCCACCGCGATCTGTGCCTTGTCGCCCTCCTCTGATAACTGCTATCTCGCCTACCCTCTGCCAAAACCTCGAGAAGACACGGGAGATAAACGGCCGCCACATGCGCCCCCTCTCAACATACATCCCGCCAACCTCGGGAGAAGTCCTCGTTTTTGATACTTTAACCTTGAAAGCCGTAAACGTGATAGAGGCACACAAATCCCCGCTGTGCTGTGTCTCTCTCAATAGCGAAGGGACCTTGTTAGCGACTGCTAGTGAAATGGGCACAATTATCCGTGTTTTTCGGTACCCCGAGGCCAGAAGCTGTACCAGTTTCGCCGTGGAACCTACCCTTCAACGATTTATAGCATGTCATTCAACCCTCTTTCCAGCCTCCTGTGTGTATCCTCGGTATCCGAGACAATCCATATTTTTCGCCTAGGTGGCTCAGGGATATCCAGATCAAGCCTCGCCAATGCAGATACTGTCATGGAACCGCCCCCAGACCAATCCCCGTCGCCCAGGCATGACCGCTGGTCTCGCTCACGTAGCCACGATAGTTCTGCAGATTCGCTGCCTGGGAGCGTGGCTGGGTCCCCAAACAGCGATGCTGCGGATGCAGCCTCAGCCTTAGCTACCACTGAGGGCGACACACCAGATCGGGTTAGAAGGCAAAGCGGCTCTTTTGGGAACATCCTACGTCGATCCTCACAAATCATGGGCCGTAGTATGGCCGGAGTAATGGGATCGTATCTTCCGCAAACCGTGACAGAGATGTGGGAGCCTCACAGAGATTTTGCCTATATCAAAATACCAAAGTCCTCTACGGCTTCCCAATCAAGGCCCATGACATCCACTAATCAACCCTCAGCAGTCGGCCCGCTGAGAAGCGTCGTGGCCATGAGGAGCAACAGCCCCGAGGTTATGGTCATCACAAGCGACGGTGGTTTCTATGTATTTGAAATCGATATGAAAAATGGAGGCGAAGGGCGTCTTGCCATGAAATTCTCGTTCGTTTTCTTCACCTTCAACCTAGATTCATTGTATATTTGTTTACTGACTAACGCTAGGGTCCTTGACGGTGACGACAAGCTTGACACTTTCTCTTATACATCATGAAACCTCTTCATTATCACTGTTTATGTTAACTTAAATAGTAAGGCCCTAATAGTTGGCAACTTAATTTCAGCAAATATTCTTTGATGTCCATATGGCCATTACTTCCCGGCCTTTGTTGTTAACTACAATTCTGTAGGTTTTGTAGATATCCATCACTTGATTTCATAAATGGTGATTACTTTTACTTACCTCAGAGGCAATAGTATATCGTGTACTACACTTCCTTTCTGTATAGCTTAACATGTCCATTTAGACTACACTTGTTCCAACAAGTAACTTCAGAGATTGTTCCATTACTAGCTACCCTGAGAAACACAGATCGCGATAGGGAGCCTAGGAACCATATATCCAAGCTCGAGGATGAACATAAATCGTCGCAGTAGGAAAAAAGAATAATGAAATGAATCCATAGTCGATATTCGCCGTTGAGAAGCATAAGAAGAGGATGTATTATTCGAGCGCTAGCTGGAGATCGGGAATCGTCGTTATTCATCGATTTGCGTAGGGTCTGTTCATCAAAGCAATTTCCCGGGCAATATGTGCCCATTCCAATTCGCGCTGCCAGCCTACCTTATCCTGGCCTCGGGAGCGAAGGGTTTCCTCCCATTTTAGCAGTTCGTAAGCGAAGCGTAGATGAGGTTGGATGATAACATTGAGCCTACGCGCCCGAACGAAACAGTACGCCCGTGGGAAAGATAGCTCCAGGGTACGCATAACCTCGGCGATACAGATAGTAGCACTTCGAGAAACGCCAACGCGACAGTGGACGAGAGTGGCAGTGCCGTTTTTGCGGCCACGCTCTGGGGAATGTTAGTAGTGTGGTGGATGGCAACGGAGCTGGTGCTAATACTCACCAATAAATTCCAAACAGCGGTCAAAAACCTCCGTTAGTGGATCAATGCCATTGTCCTGGACACATTCGACCGTGTAAAGATTGTCTTCGCCCCAGAGGTCTCGTTCTCCATCTCTCCACACTGCGGTCTCACCAACGCTCAGGACCTGGCCGATTCCAAGTGCGCGCAAAAGGTCTGGATTGCTTGCATGCCCCAGATTCCCCAGGTACATGTAGTCAAGTATTCTACTCGGCAAGGAGCCATCTAGGCATGTAAACCAAGCAGGCTCATCCTTCACCAGCGCTGTCAAGTCGGCGAGGCTAAGGGAAGAAGATACCGGGGACTCCTGTAGCAGGCGTGGGGAGAGCGCTGCAAGGAGTGCGACGTCGGCGGGGTAAGCAAAAAATTACGTCTTTTCTCCATATGTAACGCTAGCCATGCATCTGGAATGGGACGGCCAGTGCTGAAACTAAAATATGCGATTGCCAGCATTGTTGATTCGGTATAGCCATCGGCGCAGTGTAGCAATATCTTCAAAGGGGGTACCCGAACATGGTTAGAATAGCCATTTTCAGTAGCGCTCGTTTCCGATGAAGGATGAGGACATGTTCCATGTGCAAGATGATAAATCCATTTGCACGTCTCGAGGATGCCGTCAGCCTCAGCGTGGGACCAAGTGGGAGGCATTATGCTTCCCGATGATGGAAAATCGAAATTATTTCGGGGCAAAGGCCTTTGCTTATTCTCAACGATAGCTCGTAATGCTGCGGGATTGATGTGACCTAGATCGCTACACTCAATCATAACATCATACTCTTGCTCGTCCCCGGAGTCGGGAAAAGGAGTTGGACCGACCCACACGTTGTGGGAAATCTCGCTGGCCATCGCCATGCAATACATTTCGGTTCGCTCTTGAACAAAGAAGTCCAGAACATCATCTGTGCCGTGACCCTTGGAGTCGACTGCAACTAGCTCCTGGTGGCTGTTTTCAAAATCGCTGAAGGGACAAATGCAGATAAAGGTATTATACTCTGCTAAAGGTTGTTCTGGTTCTTCATGCGCCAGCCTCCACCTATGCTGGGCTTCGGCAATTTCCCAGCCTATTTTAGTGACGGCGACAGCGTCCTCCCCGTAGACAACTATATCGGACGTTGTCGCTAATTTTACCACCTGGATATGAAAGTTTCGTACCGAGAAACCTTCTCGTGGGTCGATATCTAGGAATTCGGCGGGTGTTCCCAGCTGTATTATTTCAGTCGGGGAGATAGCTCCCTTTAGACGTGAAATGGTTAGATCACCATCGGCTTTGACAATGGTGACACCACGTAAACATTGAGGTATGGAAACCGAGGAGCTTTGACGTGCTGTGAAGAATGTCTGCTGTATGTGATTATGTGGATGGATTCCATGGAGCCAAGGGAAGACATCTGCCGGATTCGGCAGGGGTTGGCAAGCCGAGTAGGTGAGTGAGGCAGCAACATCGGCAGCGCTTAGGGAATATACCGAAAGGCCATCGGACTTGATACAGCTAGAATTTCGAGGGGGATAAAGAAGGGATGCCTGGGTGGTGGAACCATGTGATTCAGGGACGGGTGAAGAACGGCCTGTCTCTAGATCGGCATTGTCGTCAATAGGAGGGATGGGACCGGGTGGGCAAGCTGGAATATGCTTGTTCGGGACCGCGGGGACCGATTGGGACCCAGAGGTGGGTGCTCCGTCGATACTTGGTAGTTGGGCGACACCACTGACGGTAGATGAGTTAGGACGACGTGGTGGGATTGGTCTTGTTAGCGCTATTGTCGCCATGCTGTTCTGTTGGCTGCTCTGAGAACTCAGAGGGGTTTATCCTCTGTCGTAGACGTCATGCGATCGGTGAGTATAGATCAGTTTAACCGTCGAAGATGGGCCGCATAAGATGGGGAAGAGTGAATATCAAGGTCGACAATGGGCGACGACGGTATCAGCGCCTCAATTCCTTCCGTTCAGACCACGAATATCGGCGAGGTGAATGCTGGTCTCCCAGTCCTCCCCAAAAGAAGCCGCAAGATCAGGAGCTCGAAGAGACAGTCTTGTTTGGGAGGAGGCGGCCGTAATCGTAGGCAAGACAGACGTATTAGTTAGATGATGGATGATGTGTAGATAAGAAATCAAGAGAGATGGCCTGGCGCCTTATCACGAGGTGATATGGTGCAACTCGGAAACCTGGTGGCTGCAGTCGAGCGGGGAAAGATTGATCCCCACCCCACACCGCTAACGGATACCCTCGAAAACCAAAGAGCTAAAGATAACCTCCACCAAATGAGCCTTTCTATTAAGCACATGACTAGGGATTCCTCCCATCGACATCAATGATTGTGAATATATCTTTTACGAGTCTTTTAATCAATCTGCCTCTGGCTGGCCAAGAATAAGAAAGAAGGCGATTGTATTTAGAACAAAGGCTCACTCTTCGCTGCAGCTGGCATTGCCGTGCGCTGATTACATAAACCTCCAGCAACAACCAACGACGTCACCAACGAAAGCCCCTTTCAAGGGTTGGCTGGATAAAGAAGCAATGCAAGTTGCTGGCGGAGCCGGACTCTCTGCCTCAACGACCTCCAAGTCCCCATTTTTCCCCCTTTACCATAGTATAGAAACTCACCGTATCTGTCCTATATCTTGCAGCCTATTTGCCAATACCTATCTCCCTCTATACACTTACCTCCAATCTTAATAACACCTAATACTAAGCCCGCCCATGCAGCACAGCTACTCCTCCTCTTACCAGCAAGGCTCACCAAGCCATGCCTCTTCCGAGAGCGAAGATGGACCACCTCCCGTCCTAGCGCGATTCTTTTATCCGTCCTCTTGCTCCATTGACGACTCTTTCTCCCCAGGCACCTCGGCAGCCGCCTCATCCGAGCCGAGATATGTTAAGGCACAGTACCAGCCTTTCTCCTGGACGGACAATCACAGGCTTGAGAGAGCATGGCGCACTCTCGTTGACCCTATCCACCAGAGCGCGCACTCTCTTGCACAAAATTGCGTTTCAGGTCCTAGTCTGGCGCAGGACTTCGCTGACATCCTCTCACACATCACCAAATACATAGCTGCGACTCATGATGCAAAGCATGGGCCTAACTTACAGCTAAGCCATATGATACCCGATGGCATCTTAGCGGGCGGCCCTGCCGTCTCGGCCCTTGTGTGTTGCCCCGAATTGTACTTCGATGTCGAAAATGAGATGCGTGAGGCGTTCTGTCCGCGCTTTAGGAGCACTCAGGGCGAGCTAAGTATTGATAGCGTTGTTCGGAAAGTCGTGGCGACCTTGAAGGGCCTCAGAGGTGGCCCTAACCTAATGGCAGGTCCGCATCATACCGATTCCAAGCCTCGATGCAATATGCCGGATGATGAGGCTAACCCTGCACCTGGGGGCTATAATCCCCGAATGGCGAGGGCTGGTATTGACGCAAACCTAATGGAGCCCAGAGCTGGCCGTAGGCAAAACCATTCCATCCCCACCAATATATCCCCTAGCTCGCGGGGATTCCAGATAGATGATGGGATGTCTGGCACCCCATTTGTGAGAGTTGATAGTCCTTCGATCTCAGCAAGGCCCTCATCGTCTAACATGACGAGGCCGAGTATTAAATCAGGTCGTCAAAAGAGACAATAAACACATTAACTCCGCACAACGCACATGAGTGTGTTGACTCGGTCAGGCGTGACCCTCAAGCCCATTTACTACGTCCTTATTATTCAGCCAAGGAAGTCGTCGTGGGCGCATCCCGGTTACACACCGTATCACTTCCGGCTCTAGAAATGAGGCCTATTTACTGGTCCCCAGTTAATGATAGAGCCGTAGTTCTGCGAGCAACATGGTTTTATAAGTACGTGATCTTTCCGTCCGAGCTGCTGGCGTCAGTTGACCGTTATATAGGGATACCATGCAGCCAATTCCGGTCGAGGTTGCGAACCGGCTTGAATCAACCTACAGAGAGCTTCAGCCCTGGACTGAAACATGGGCCGACGAGTTGCGGTGTGCTGTGAATGTTGGGCCACTCGGTGAGGAGAAGGTCTCATGTCCCCTTTGGCCACAACTGCCTTCCATGTCTCAAGAACCTGGCCTAGAAGATCCCCCTTCAATAACGGATCCCTCTTGCGCCGCCCGGTGCTTCAATAGCGAGCTTTCAGCCGAAGGTCGGTTGAATAAATTGGGGGATGAGATGAATAAGCAAGTTGCAACCCCGGCCACGCCGCCGTTCGCGAACTATCACATCATTTTTAAGGGTTCTCGACTCGCATTCCTGCTCAAGCCAAGTCTTAAGCCATCCGCCTACTATGGTCGGCGCCCCGTTGCAAAGATCATGAGAGGTTCAACTGTAGGCATTCCTGTCATACGAGGGTTTGGTACACCCAGCAGCAAGCATGGGGTAACCCTAAATAATCCTGGGCCCGGAGAATCTAGCATCACCATGGGCCTCGGGGGCTCGAGCATTCCTTTGCATGCGTAGACGACCGGAAACCGGGTCAAGTAAAAGATCTCGTTCTAGTCATCCATGGGATAGGCCAGAAGTTTGCTGAGAGGGTTGAGAGTTTCCATTTCACGCATGCCATCAATGCATTTCGACGCGCTGTCAACCTTGAACTTGAGAGTCCCGCGGTCAAGACAGCCCTCCGAGAAGAGGGTACCGGAATTATGGTTTTGCCTATAAACTGGCGTCAAGATCTATCCTTCGAAGATGGCGGACCCATGACAGAGGCGGATCGAATGGCAAGGGCTCAGGAGGCCTTCGGTTTGAAGGATATCGAACCGGCCACGATCCCAGCCGTACGTGGCCTAATCTCCGACATAATGTTTGACATACCGTTTTACATGTCACAGCACAAGTCCAAGATGATAAATGCATTAGTGGCGGAAGCAAATCGGGTCTATAGGTTGTGGTGCCAGAATAACCCCGGATTTGTTGAATATGGTCGCGTCCACCTTATCGCTCATTCACTTGGGAGTGCCATGGCGCTAGACATCCTCTCTCACCAACCGACTTCCATTTCAAAACTCAACCCAGAAAACTACAACCTGCCAGCAACGTTCTTCGAATTTGATACGACTAACCTCTTCCTTGTTGGGAGCCCAGCAGCCTTTTTCTTTTGCTTGAACAAGGCGCTTTGATACCCCGTCGTGGTCGGCTAAAGGCCGATGCTGATCGAGCAGATGCTATGGCCAAAGATATCACCGGGGAAGCAGGGACTCTGGGTTGTCTAGCCATCGATAACGTTTACAACATTCTTGCGAAAGAGGATCCTATAGCCTACTTGTTAAATGGTACGATAGACCCTTCCTACGCCGCAAATCTGAGTGTAGCGTATGCCCCAAGCACAGCCGCCTCTTTCGTTCAGACCGTGGGAAATGCTATGCGTAAATATCTCCCATTCGATGGACCTAAAAAGAAGCACCACCTAATTCCCAAGCGAAACCGGCTGTTCATCGACTACCATCACAGCTTGAATTGGAGGTTCATGATTTTCCTAGAGAAGACATTGCGGAACGGAAAGCCTACCTCCTTAACGACAATGGGCAGATCGACTACTATCTCCATTCTGGCGGTGGGCCTCTGGAGATCCAATATCTCAATATGCTGGGAGCGCATAGTTCGTACTGGCTTCACAAGGACTTTATTCGCCTAATATGTGTAGAGATTGGAAGGCAGCCTGGCAGGAAACACACAATTCCCGAAATGAGGGTCTGCAAGGTCGCTCGGCGCAGTATTGGTAAATAGGCCATATATACGCATGTAGAATAGCTTTCTGCAAATCACAAATCGAGTTTCCTTGCGTGCCTCCTAGCCGGCGGGTATTGCATGCGTTTGGCAGGGTCTTCAAGCCAAATCACATCAGAACCCATCAATATCCATCAGATCATCATCGAGTCCATCGTCCATTCCGTAATCATCATCCACTGCCGTCGTCAGCCTTGTCGGTGCCTTGGCCTGGACCTCCATTTCCCGTATTCTCTCTAACTCCGCGGCCTCCTTATGCTTCATTAGATCGCTATACGTCCAAGCGCTGATTCCTTCTTGATCCTTGGCACTGAATGGCTGTGCCATACCTTTTAGGAACCTACGGGCACTGCTCACGGCCATATCCGTACTCAGATTAACGTCTGCCTCTAGAAGCCCTTGACTGATCCATTTAGGTAGTTGGCCGCGCTTTTTCTGAAATCTACGATCCGCAAGGACCATAATTCCGTAATCGTCTTTTCCCCTCAAGACGCGACCGAGGCACTGCGCAGCATGTCGCATTGCATCAAATGACAAAAGTCATTTTCCCGGATCCGATAGGTCTCTCGCAAGAATTCAAGGCGCGCTTTTAGGATACGGGATTCTGTGTACTGGAAAGGAACCCCAATACAGAGGACAGTCCTCCCGTACTGGTGATCGAAGTCGATACCTTCTGACACCTTACCCCGGGCAACGCATAAGAGGACCGCACCCCGGCCATTACAGCAGGCGGTGCGGTACGTTTCCAGAGCTAACGATGTCTCTTGAGCATCTGGGGTTTCGACAAGAATCAATTTGTACTTCCAAATATCGTCTAAAATGCCCATTCCCTGCCACATGCTAATGATGGATTCCATGTACAGGTAGGAGGGGAAGAAGACCACCATACCATCCGGGGTGATCTTGGCGAACTCGGTGAGCAGAGTCCCATAATTCCGCACAACTCCGGGTTCGTTTCGGACTTGAAAACTCGTTGATATAGACGCCTGGTCGCTGCCACGCGTCACGATCATAGGTAGAAAGGACCTTCGCGCAAGCGACATGCTATATGATTCTTGGACGACAGTAGAGAAATTGAGCATCCGGGGATACATCTCTAAGGGTGAAATTGTGCCTGACGTGATGATAACAGATCTAAACCTCTCAAAAACGGGTTTTATAGCGATAGCAGCATCTAAGCAGACGAAGTGGAGTACAGGGTTAGGAATCTCTGCAGTATCTGATTCGAAGGGCTCTAAGATGAGGAGAAACCCCGATTCATACGTGGCGACAAGTGTAGCGAATGTAGCGACTTCCTGCAAGGGCTGGTAATCCTCAATATTGGTGAGCTCGAGGGTTCTGGCAAGCGACGCAAGTCTTTCCGCACAAAATCGCAATGGCTTCTTCTCGATGAATGTGTGCTCTTTAAGATGCGCAAGAAAAGAAGGAGGCGTCTCCGAAATAACCTGGCGAACTTTCATTCTCGTCTATGCCCTTTAATGTTAGTCACTTCTCGCCGCCCTTTAACTGAAATGAAGAGAAGGTTGAGAACCACCTTAAGGTACTCGATAAAACGCTTTAGAAAAGTCACAAAATGCTCCGCTCGTCGAATGTTTCCGGGCAAAGCCTCTTCCAGAAGATCATCCGGAAGTGCTTCTAAAGGTCAGCAGAGAGGGGTGAGTTACGGAAAATGTGATGATACGTACTTGGATTGGCCATAAAAGCATCTTCCCTACGTGATTCTTCCGCACTTCGCAGGCCCTGTACTAGCTTCTCATATTCGGTTCGAAGCTTTTCCTGGTCCGTTTCCTTGAGCTCGGCAACCTTGCGTTCTAAATTCCTAGCTCCTCTTGTGGCCTTGCGAAGAGAATCCTCAGTAATATCTGTACTCAAAGACTCGATACACACATTATCAATGTTGTGAGCTTCGTCAAACACGACAATGCAGTCCTTCGAAAGTTCCCTCGAGACGCGTTCTGCGATCTTGGGGTCGAGGAGGTAGTGGTATGAATAAATGATGACATTACAGTACTGCATCTAGAATAGTGTTAGTTCACAAAACGCTCAAATCATACTCAAACAGCGCCCTACCATGCGTCTTGCTGTGAAATAAGAACACTGCTTATGCTCCTCCCCATAACTGAGGAGGGCATCAAGCGTCCAAACGCCGGTTGGAATCAGATTGTGAGGCTCCAGAAGATCGAGATTCTATAGCTAGGTGAGTAAGAGCGATATAGCCGGTCTCCGAATACATACGTCATGGTAAATGCAAGAATCAACAGCTTCTCCGCGGTCCTTCTTTTCTCTAACGAAACCCGCCGTCAAGCTTCTGCAGCGGGCATCGACAATGGCCCCGCTCTTTTCTCTCTTTACGGATGGGTGTAGACACAGGTTTTTCCGGCTTGTAAGCCCAAGCGCTCGGAAATCTTCGGTTCTGCCCAATTGCTCCGCGCGATACTTCATTAGGGCCTTCAATTCCGCTAACGCTTTCTCAATCTCTGATGTCGTTCCTGTACAATCGATGATATTAGGAATGAAATATGCTTCTGAGCCACGATTTATGATCAACTGACGAGAACAATAGATAATCTTGCGCTGAGAGGGGTAGTACTGCTGGTATGCGATAAGTAATGATAGTAGTGAGATTGTCTTGCCTGTTCCAGAAGGCATCTCAAGGACACAATTGCCATCCGCATCCAGTGTTTCTAGACAACAATTACAATTAGAAACAATCCTGAGACGAAAGAGTTCTACCTAGCATACTTTTCAAATCGCACATGTAGCTGATGATCTCAGATGGGGTTCGTTAGATGTAAGGTGAACTAAACGATGATTACGGAAAGATGATGCTCACGCATATTGCTCTAGTCTATTGGTTAATGATTTTAAGATCCGCTCTGGTGGGAAAATGCATACCAGGGTATATTCTTGGGTATGGGAAGAGCACCGGTAGATCACTAAGCCACACGTTAATAACATGTGCCCTAGCATTAGAGACCAGAGGGTAAGGGAGAAGCGAAGGGCTCGTCCATGACCTACTCGATGTTGAACCTCATTGCGGCGGCCAAATGAGACGAGTTCCTTGTGAGCGAAGGAAAGTTGATTTGTAGAAAACTATCGCCTACCAGTTCCCAAGTTAACAATAACCTGTTCAGGGTAGCGCTTGCTCTTTTTCCTTCTTGTTTTCCAGGGTGGGGCGAGGGCGAGGGCGAGGGCGAGGGCGAGGGCGAGGGCACAAATCTCGGCGTCTAGAGGTTTCGGCGGATGTTCTCAAGGGACATTACGACAATTAGGTGCAATTTGAAGTTAAAAGAGGTGAAGAGTCCCAGTCCTTCGCGAGTCTACGAAACTCTCGCGTAGTCACATGACCTGGGCCAATCCCACATAGCATCCATGGATGCCGCCGGCGCACCTTCGCGTGCCTCTGACAGACTCTTTGATTTCACAACTTTCACCTCCAGAACCCACCCACTTGACCCTAGAATATCCACAGGATTTCATTCAAGTTTGGCGTTTGTGGGGGAGAGGAGTTAAACCGGTTTCCCCCTTCTTCTTTTGCCGCATTCCTCGCCCAACGAGAGCGATAATCAGAAAGCCGCAGCAGATCTTCCAAGTCAGCGGCGCCAGCAGGGAGCCCTTTTGGAATTAGGGAAATCAAAACAAGCGTCAAGACAACTATAATATATATATATCATAAAAAGAGGATAACACCTGGCCTGGTTCTTTTCAACGCGCAGCTTTAAAACCAGATGGTAGAGTCCCCGGGGATCATGCGGTAAAATGCGCGATCTTCTCCTGAGGTAGGTATTTGAATCAGATATCCACTCAATTTGGTTCTAGCCTTTTCTCTCCAGAAGAGCAGAGCAGGGTGCCAACAAGGGACAGTGCTCTGCCAACCCGGCTCATCAAAGGCCAAGAGAACCAACCGAGAAAAGCAGTTCCCCATAGAGCCATGTCTCTATTCCTAACCCCGAAGGGAAGGTTGAGGTTCGTTGATTGGCTATGCTTGTAGATTTCGAATTTTTGGTTGCATAGCCACTGTGGTATGTCGTGAGATCCTTCGAGGCGAAGCGAACCAGCCTTTATTGACGCCGGTAAGAATGCCTCAGGCTATGTATCGAGGTGACACAAGTCCCCGCACCGCGGCAGAGATGGTCACACAGCTTACATCCATCCATACATGTATCCATGGATGTATTTCCAAAGAACTCCAGACAGATTTCAGACAGGGTACTAGGGTCGACTAGATCTGTTGGTTGTTATATGGACACCGAAAGGTCATAATTGCGATAACTTATCGTCACAAACAGCACATAAAGCCCGTCGAGAACAGAGGATTCCATCATGAGTGAATGCATGCGATTAAATTAATGGCAAGACATACATATCAGACCAGTATAACTTTCAAACAGAAAATCTTCTTGGGAACTACATCAAGTATGGGGATGGGTCCTCGATTGATGGTAGGTACATGCGTGCAAGCGTCAGGGAAAGGCGTGAGGGGCGCTTGCAGCCATACATTGTAACTTAGGAAGATGGTAGGACAAGCTCTCCCGTTTCACAAGAGGAATAGTCGACTGCGGCTGTGTCGGTTGTACTACACTTGTCTTCTGACTTCAATTATCATACTTTCCCACCTGCGGTCAGCCCGCAGGTAAGCTCTCGGACCTTTTTCTCTCCACCAGCTCACACCCCGATCGAGGTTCAATTCCTCATGCATGGCTTAGACATGCTCAGAAGATAGGGTACTATTAGGCAGACAAGGGACTCGACCTAGATATCAGGGAAGATAAGATATGATTTGTGGTGTGTCAGTGTGAGAGAGACTCACTCCCACAGTGACTACAATCGGATCCTCGGTTGGGCGTATGATCGAAGCATTGGGGTGGCACAGGGGTCGTTAGTCTGACCAACCGCAGGTACATCGTCAAATAGCCAACACCACCTCTCACATTGAAATATGAGGCGGCACGGGCGAGGCAAAAGATGAGTTAATACATTGCATGCATGCCTATCTTCGAGCCTTTCAGCACAGTCTCCTATGACCCCCTCAAGGAATCTGCTTATACACCTATGACCCCTCAAGGGTAAGACCTCAACCTACAAGCGTGGGATATAGAGTATCTGCGTCTATATCATACACCCGGGCCTCAATCTGCCTCACAGCTTGTATAGTGCGTGTAGGTTCTCTTCCTGAACACCAACAGGCACCTCGCGGCCCGTCTTGTCCAGTCCTGTCCATGTTGGTGGTCCCTCTCTATTACGACTTTCATCCCAAGTATTGGGGGCCGTTAACTCCCCTGCCTTGCTTTCTCCATTGTACCATCGTTAGGGATATGGTTGTACACAATTCAAATAGTATTTAACCTAGGGTTCGCTGCTGAGGAGTTACTCAGGCTTTCTATCTCTTAATCAAACCCCATCTGAGTTCTCACCACCATATTCTAAACGAATCCCAGATTTCTGAGGGCACCAAGTAGCGACATTCCAGTTAATTATTACCCTGCTCTACGATGCTTATTGTTCAGGATTCGACCGAAAAAGATGTGGTGTTGGGAATGGCCCTGGCCCCTCTCTTGCTCCCGAGGTCTCCAGAATCCTCGCCACCACATCACGAAACGCCAGAGAGAACTGCCAATTGCCCCTTTCCCTTTCAGTACGAGATACATTCGAGTATGCAGAGGATGGAGCCGTGTTCTCGGTCCCCGCCGTCCCAGTTCCGCCTTTGTCGAACAACCGGAACGGATGGGCTTCAATGGAGACTCTCGACGACCGCGGTGGGATCTTCTCCATCCTTTCTGCCGGACCCTGGAAACGGCTACAATTCTTTCCCAGACTTGGCCACTGTGGCCCCAGTCCCATGTGGCGTGGCAGAGTTCCCTGAGATGCCGTCGCCCTCATGTAAACTAGAGGGCTTATTAGTCTTTCGCGACACGGCTGAGACTGCCAGCGCCGATTCACTCTACTTGACCCGGCCTAATGAAGGGACAGGTTGTAACATAGCTGAAGCGCTAAGACATGACCAAGGAATTCGGGACTCTGGACTGTATAACACGACAGGAGAGAAGAATTATCCTCCTCCCAGCACGCTTCGCACGGCCTTTATTTCTCAACCCGCAGCCTCAGCTACCTCGACCGAGCTACTATCCGAACCTATCTGCACTCCGCAGGACAAGAGATTTTTAGAGGCACAAACTAGCCTGAGAGCTACAGGTGAGCCAGTGACCAGTTCTCAAAATGCTAGAAGCCGGATTGATCGTTCTAGACGAACAATGAGGAGACTCACTACAAGGGAGGAAGCAAACTTTCAGTGTGATTTTGAGGGATGCGGCAAACTTTTTAGTCGAAGCTATAACTTCAAATCCCACATGGAAACCCATGACGAGAAGCGAGAATACCCATTTCCGTGCCTTGAGACTGGTTGTTCTAAACAGTTCGTACGGAAGACGGATCTACAAAGACACCATCAGAGCGTGCATATAAAGGAGAGGAATTATAAGTGTGACTATTGTGGTAGACTATTCGCCCGGAAGGACACTTTAAGACGGTGGGTTACGAACCGGCAAATGTGATTCCTTCCCAATCTAGTTTTCTGGGAACTGACTTAAATCATCGTTATCTAGGCATATGGAAGATGGGTGTGCAAGGCGGTTTGATATAGGAATTGCGGATATGGGTATACGAGACTATGAGAGTGGCACCGAAGGAAGGTATGGTGGCGACCACAACAGCCCCCACAATCTCCCATTTCCAGAAGATTCACCACACTCAAGACCGCCGTTAGGGACAACTAGGGCTTCGTCGCTTTTAGATATATCTCGGCCACGGAACTATCAATACAGAACGGTCTGAGCATCCCGAATCGGATGGAGCGTCTTATTTACCATGTCGAGAGATATTATGCTCCTCGAAACGGACTATCCACTGTGATCTTGACCATTCGCCGGACGCAGGCCACGCTAAGTATGCGCCTGGTGCATTCAGTGTCACAATTGAGGCGGCCAAAAAGTACTGTTGTCAGAAGATCCCCATAGTCATCATTTTCATCATGACGGCGACGTAAACTTCACAGGGTGGTTTGCCTTTGAGACCTCGTAGACGACTAGTCACAATACTAGGCTAGAAGGGTTCTGGCCTTCGCTAATGGCAATTGTCTACTCCGGGGCGGCTCATTTGAGAAATACAAAGAATTTTAGGTCAGTTAACAGGATAGATGCCTACGCTACATGTAGACTTGATACAGTGGGTCTCTTGCTCGAGAAATATGCCGGCTGGAGCAGGGAGCGAAAAGGGGTGTTTGACGTGATGAATACGTCGCAGCGAGTGAGGATGAAGCTGACAACTCCATTGTTTAATTGGTAGCTATCATCTCAAAACTTGTAGGTGCGACTCCAAGCACGTCGAACGAGCCGGTGCCAACACGGCCCAGCTGGCCCACGACAATCCGCGCGCTAGGTGTTGTTAGGTCATCCCAGTCACCCTCTATCAGCGCATCTCTCAAGAAGGCAACTGTTGTTTCAAAGCTCATCTTGGTAAATGGACTGACATTTCCGGCGAGGCCCAGACGGTTGAATGGAGTAAACCCGCCGTTTCTGGTCATATGATCGGCAATGAGGTTTAGATGGCGGTTGTCGACAGTGATGTTATGAGACTGGAAGACCCCTCGTAATTCTCCCATGATATTGCTACGACATGCCTCTACGCCATACTCCTCGAGAGTGGTGGCAATATCGTTTGTGATGATGCGATTAACATCCAAAAAGTCTGGAAATTGCCACATGGCCCGGACATTGACGCCAGAAGTGTGGATAACAGGCGTTTCGTTTCCGTTAATCTTCTCTTTGGCCACAAATGTGCATTCTTCGAGACCCTGTACCTGGTGTACCACTGACCTCTTGACGGCTTCACGCACAAGATTTACCATTAAGAGCTTAGGCGTCTCAATATCATATTCCAACGTGAACTCCACATTGAGAGTTGAATGAGGGCCGTTGGAAAGGCGATATCCAAAATAGGAGACGTTGGTGTGTTTGGATCGGATGCGACTCAAGACCCCAGCACCTTGATCATCCACGTTGGGGAGCTTTGTTGACTGCTCTCGCCAAATTGGGGCCTGCCAATATCTTCCTCGCGAGCATTGACCGTAGTATCACAGAGTGCATACTCATTGTTATAATCATAGTCGTCAACTGGCGAAGCTTCTCTGGCCATCTGGGTTTGTATAAGATCGTCCTCAACGTCATTCGGACCGTAGGATACTGTCTGGGTTCGATTCTGATTCTCCCTTGCACTAGTAGCATCTCCATCATCTCCATCGTCATCATTCTCCTCAGATGCGACTTGTGGCAAGTTGGCGGCTTGGGATAGCCTCAGGAAACCGGCGCGTACACCCACAACGGGTATGGCAGAGTTGCCTTGGCTCGATCGCTTTTTATCTCTTTCCGAGCAATGGCAAGAAGGTGTGGTATAAGCGCATTTTCGACCGTCGAAAGCACCTTGAGCGTGTCAATGCCGTACATGTGCTGAATTTCTTTGATAGGGAAGAAGGTGAGGCAAACTTTGTAAAGCTTAGCTAGGCCAAAGTTATCACTGTTGCCCACAGTCTCTACAACTCTCGCCGCATCTACTATGTGTGAGAGCGGTAAAACGCTGATCGACTTAGCAAACAAGTCACTCTCCCCCACTGTTAAATTCTTATTGACGAGCAGCGTCATGCTAGGCGTCGAGATGTTCTTCGCAGCAGTCATGAGGATTTCTCTAAGTCTGGGGATACCAAGCGTGACGTTTTTGCAGAATGGCCAGCTAAGTGGAATGTGTTGAGCGTCATCTGAGTCGATGGCTCTCCGATCGATTGTCCAGCCACAATCCCGACGGCTTCTCCAGGCTCAACAAGGGAACGCATAAATTTTGTGACTAGGAGGGTTTCCGCAGTTTTGCGGCTTGGTTTCGGGCCCCCGACGCCGTGGAAGATAAGGCTGAAGAATCCTCTGGACCGCGAATAAGGTCATCTTTATTTTCGGATAAGTATGATGTCATGGCACCAAAAATTTCTCGGAAGTTGCGAATAGGTTTCGGGCAGGATTAAACAAAGAATTAGCGGGATCTATGATCAAGTGGCTACCACGTTTCGTATGCTTGAGGGCACTCTTCATCTGCTTCAGGATCTGGGTTTTATTGCAGGTTAAGTGTTTGTTTTTGTCAGCTCCGAACTGCAGCTGAGACGCCTGAGATTCAATATTGCGAAGGATGAACTCAAAGTTCTCGAGATATTCTTGCTTTGTAATATCGATGCCATCTTCGCCGTAGAGGAATTGGATAAGGGCTCCGTCCGAGTCGCGGACCGTAGTATCGTATGCAACAACAAGGCCTTCCATCCCTTTAATGATGCATCGTTGCAAGTATCCAGAGCGCGAAGTTTTGACAGCGGTGTCAATGAGACCTTCTCTTCCGGCCATCAAGTGGAAAAAGTATTCCTGGGGGCGAACACCGGTTAAGAATCTATTCACAATGTAACCACCGGCTCGGAGATTAGTGTCGAAAGGCTTAAAACAAGGCAAGGACTTGCCATTGACCATTAGGGGACCCTTCTTCCTTCAAGGACTTGTTGGCCAAGATTGACAGATATCTGGTTGGCATTGACTTGACTACCCTTGGCACCCGACACGGTCATGGACTGCATGTGATTTCTGGGGAAAGGTTTCTCGAGACCGACAGGGAGACAAGCTTGGGTGACCTTCGAGGAGAGATCACCGGCGCTTCCATTGACCAGCATATCAAGGTTTTCCTGCTTCGCATCGTCTCTCATAACCTCTTCGAGACGGCTTAGGAGCACCGGATCCGTAGGAGGAGGGAATTCGTCATCTATGCCGACATAGCCCGCTGCTACTCGAAGCCCGATGGCTTCGGATTCTTCCAGCTTCTCGAGGCGGGATGACTCTCCTTGGGGGTTAGGGTGAGATCATCTATACCGCATGTGAACGCTCTCATGTGGAGAGTCCTAGTTAAGAGCCTCCCCAGACTGCTTAACAGTCTACCAGCAACGGTAGGCCCGTACACTTCGTGGACAGAGTGAATGAACCCCCTGAGGATGGCCCCAATTGAGACTTGTCCAGGATGCCAGTAATGAACACACCATTGCTGAAATAAACCGACTCCTCTTCCGCCCCAGCTACACCCCATGCAGAGCCTCGGATTTTAGAGCCACCCTTCATCCAGAGTCCCCCGCAGTTTTGTGGTGTTATATTGAGCAGTATAGTGGTGACAACCTGCTTTCCAGTCCAGAGCGGCGCCGGCTTCAGGATTGCAGGGGAATAAGCTTGATCCTCTCGCACAAGATATGGCCACTCTCTGGTCGTAGAGCACTATATACCAGTTGATGGTAGTCTCCGCGGTTCATGAAGGTATCCTTGCTGCAAAGTGCAACTGAAATGGAAAGATGATCCTGGATGAGGCCTCTAAGCGGACTCCCTTGTGTACCAGAGAGGTACTGGTGATCAGTATCGGCTAGTTGCAGAGCTTCCGCGCGAGCTATCTCATTCTGTGGGAAATGCATATTCATTTCATCTCCGTCGAAGTCTGCATTGTACGTGTTGCAGTTGGCATAATGCATTCGTATCGTCTTCTCGCCTGGTAGAACTCGTACGCGATGGCCCATTATTGAGGGCTTATGTAGTGTAGGTTGCCGGTTCATTAAAACGACATCTCCATTGGCAAGATGGCGATGTACCTTCTTATTCCGGATGCCACCGTGCTCGATAGTGCTGGGGGTTAACAGTTGGTGTGCAAGGGACTCTCGTTCCTCAGCCGTCTTCCAGCGAAGATTCATGATCTGGCCAGCCTCATTCTCCAGTGCAGAGGCGCCTGGCCATTGTTCAGCGCCGTTGATCACAGCCTGAGCCAGCTCCCTTACATTGTGGCTAGTCACTGGCTCGGGATATGTGAGCCTTGTTGCAAACACCGGTGGAACCCCAATCTCATTCGTATCGATCATTGGATCCGGGGAGATGACGCTCCTCGCTGCATAGTTGACCCTCTTGCCCATCATGTTCTTCCGAAACAAGCCCTCCTTTTTCTCCAGTTTCTGCTTGATCCCGTCCTCAACCCTTTGTGCCGCTAGACCCTGAACAGGGCTTTTCGTTTTATCGATTAAGCAATTCACTGAGTCCTGTAAGTCTGTCCAAGCCTGGTGCAGGAGTGTAAGGGAATTTTTGCTTCTAGTCCCCTTCGACCGAGAGCCGTTTTCTTCCCGTAATTCGTGGTGGGCCTGTACGACCCGTTCCGAGCTGCGCAAGATGTTTTTGTACAGGGAATTTTGCTGAGCCTCACTAATGCGATCGGGGCCCATACGCGCCTCAGGCCTATATCTATTTGGGGGCACAAGGATAGCTTGGAGGAAGAACATCTCGGCGGAGACCTTGACAGGAGGCTTGGGGCTAGCACGACCATTGTATAGGAGCCCTAAAATCTCCTGTTCTCGTTCAAATAGAAGTGTAAGCCTCGCACGTACTTCCATCGCATCTAGGTAACGTTGGCCTTGAGCGGTGTCCAGCGAACGGGCTTGCACCTCTTCGGCGACGTTTTTAGGATCAGTTGATCCACTAGAATCATTTATTGCGCTGGAGGGTGGATCTTCATGCATTGAATACTCCTCGTTTAGTCGGTGTTTCCGAAGAGTCGCCATCGCGTCAACTGCCTTCAAGTTCTTCCTCTCCATAGCCGCCAGATCTTTAGATGACAGAGCTTTCTCGAAAATCTTCACATACCGGTCTTTTCGATAGGCAGGACTGACGCCTTGGCATGTTGCGCATCTTCGAGTTTTCACAACATCAGCTAGGAATTGTTTGATGAGGAGGCCTCTCATATGCGTTGCGCCCTCATGTTTGGCCAGTTCACTACCAAGACGCTTTGCACGGCGAAGAGAGTCTTTGACGAACTGTTCCCTTTTGCGAATTGACAATCCTGTGGACAGATTTCCTTCTTCGTCAGCCTCTCCAGTAACGCCCTGGGTGTCATCATCGAGGCCCAAAATATCCTCGGCAATGGTGTCTATGGAAGCCGCCTCTTGGACAAGCCCGTATTGTAGCAGGCGAAATTTGCAGATATACGCGTGGACATCCTTCCTGCCCATTTTGAAATTGTGGCAATAGATGCACTGAGACCGCAAGAGGCGAAGGACCTGGTCCATGAAGACAGGGTGATACACTGGAACCGGCAGTTCAATATGACCCGGATGACCGGGACATTGGGCATTCCTTAGGTGGCAGGTATCGCAACTTTAAGGCCAAGGACGTTAGTTGAGGTCTTCAAGTAAGCAAAGGCATCATAGTACTTACGGTAGGTCACCCCACGCCCCAAGTGCAGTATCATAGAGACCATCGGGGACCGGTAGCATTAGGCTGTCGAAAGTGTTGTCATTCTGAACTTGCTTGACAGATATCGCGCGAATTTCCTCTGTCGAAATGAATTTGAAATCCACTCTCTCTATGGCACCCGCCACTGGGTTAGATATATTCATTGTAGCATGAAGAAAAGTGATTTGTTTGTGGAATATGTCTTCATCGCCACAGAGGAGGGGTGTTAGCTTTATGGAACCAACAGAGGTCAATGGGAAGAAAAAGAAATTTTGAAAAGTTTGGCGGTGAAGGACGGCATATAGTGGGGCAAGTTCTCTCTCTCATCGCCTGAGGAATCAATGGGCTCTGCGCCGCCTCCCAACCTGATTGTCAAGAAGCGTCCAGTGAGAGCGACCGTCTGACTCTGACGAACCGTGACAGTTTTCTCGGTCACGTGACACCACAAGCTTGCAGTACCAGTGATGTCGAGGCTCGAACAGCTCTTCTGCCAGGCACGGGCGTAATAATCGTGGTGATATTCGTTTTATTCCTCGTCTACCCATTTTCTTTCGAAGGGGCGGGCGAAGGTCAGTTAACGTCAGTTTCGAACTTATAAAACCACCAATTTGCAACTCAGTTTCTCAATCTATCACCGAGATGGAGTCCCCTGTTGATAAGATGGCCGCCCTCAAAGCCCGGGTTGCTGCTGCTATCGGGAGCAGCAAGGCAAAGGGCGGGTTGAACGTTGGGCTTCATCCAGCCCTTGAGGATCTTGGGACCTGGAAGCCTCCAGCAAAGTCCCATCACACGACACATGCTCCCAAACGCCTTCATACATCCAAAACTAAGAGCCTGAAGCTTGGCTCCGCCCAAGTTCCCACCCCCAACCCATACTACAGTGACTACTCAGAGGTCCCGGCATCGAATTCCCGAGAACCAAGGCAACTAGTATTCAATCAGAAAGGAAAATATATACAACAAGCAAATGCTCTCCGTCGCCAGGCGGCTCTAGAAGCTATGAAGAAGCGAATCGCGGAACAAACACGAAAAGCGGGTATCGACGATGAATTAGATGTGGAAAAGAATTTTGAGATCAATGCTCCCCGACAGTCGAGTGGTGGGACGAAGGCCTCGTCAAAAACGACATGTATCTTGACGATGATATCACCCTGAGAGCAAACAGGGACAGGATTCGCGCGGATGACAGCATTGTCACTGAGTTCATTCAGCACCCGGTTATCATTGAGCCGGCACAGGACCGGAATGTGCCGCCTCCAAAGCCCATGTACCTTACGACAAAGGAGCAGAAAAATGCGTCGCCAACGAAGAATGGCGGATTTGAAGGAAAGACAAGCAAAAGAAAGGCTGGGACTCATCCCGGCACCACCTCCAAAAGTAAAAAGGCCAATCTTATGCGCGTCCTCGGAGAAGAAGCTGTCAAGGATCCAACTGCTGTTGAGGCCAGAGTCAACCGGGAAATTTCGGATCGCAAGCAAAAGCATCTTGAAATAAACGAAGAACGAAAGTTAACTAAACAACAAAAGCATGAAAAAATCAATGCAAACCATGAAAAGGATGCGGCAAAAGGGATTCATCTTGTGGTCTTCAAAATTGGTAGTCTTGCAAATGGCCAGCACCGATTCAAAGTCAACAAAAACGCCGAACAGCTGGCATTAACAGGCATTTGTGTCATGCATCCGACGTTCAATCTTCTTATTGCGGAAGGTGGAGAGCACAGCATTCGACAGTATCGCAAATTAGTCGTTAACCGCATCGATTGGACAGAGAATTCACCCTCACGCCTAGCGTCAACCTTGGCGGGCACACCACGCCTGTGGCTCCAGGCAGAAGATGAACAAGGTCTCCTTAAAGATTTGTCCTCAAACAGCGCCCATGTTGTTTTCGAAGGACAGGTCAAGGTACGCGCCTTCAGGAAATGGGGAAGCAAGGTTTGCGAGACGGACGCAGAAGTAAGGGAATTGCTCGCCCGCTACAAGATGGAGAACTTTTGGACACTTGCGAAGGGGGACAGTTATGATGGGCCCCGGTAGCAAACTACCTGCCGGGTGTCGCCAATATTCACGCGTAACCAGTGCAATAACGCTTTATAATGTGCTTTATTGAGCATAATTATAGTGTACAATCAATACCGATGTAAAAACCAATTCGTTTCAACGCCAAGAATCCCATACCCATCCACGGTGCACTCGTGAAGCATTTAAAAAGCAAATCATAACCCCGGAAGTATTGTTTCCATTCCAAACACTCCTCAAACTTAGTTGCGCTCGCCACGAAGGCGGCGGGCAAGTTGGATGTCCTTCTGTTAGGCTGTTAGCGCTGGTCAAGCTATGTGCTTCTCGTCATGCTTACGGATTGAATGGTGACACGCTTCGCGTGGATCGCGCAAAGGTTGGTGTCTTCGAACAGAGACACGAGGTAGGACTCGACGGACTCCTGGAGAGCACCGATGGCAGAAGACTGGAATCGAAGGTCGGACTTGAAATCCTGAGCGATCTCGCGAACAAGGCGCTGGAAAGGGAGCTTTCGAATGAGAAGCTCGGTCGACTTCTGGTATCGTCGAATCTCACGAAGAGCGACGGTACCGGGCTTGTAGCGATGGGGCTTCTTGACACCTCCGGTAGAGGGAGCCGACTTGCGGGCAGCCTTGGAGGCAAGCTGCTTTCGAGGGGCCTTGCCACCAGTGGACTTACGGGCGCTAAAGGGAATATTGTTAACGAAGAGCGCATGTGAAGACAGGCGGGTGATCCTTACGTTTGCTTGGTACGAGCCATTTTAACGGTTTAGAGCGTTAATAAAGATGGATAGAGATGGAAAGTCTTCTGTTGTGATGACGAGCTGATCTGGGGTTCTGTTGATGGAAAAAGAGAAACGGGGTACAGAGGTTTGGGGGAATGGTATTTGTATCTGAGTGATGAGTCAGGTGGGGCTGGCTGATTGCGCGTGCAGGGGCGGATAAAATATACCATCAAAATAAGCCTTCCTTATCTGGATATTTTCCCCTACACCATTCTATTTAATGATTGGCCAGAACACACAACCTGACACGCCCTTTGGCGCTCGACGCGAATCAGTCGAAAAACAAAGCCAGTCGACAGAGTCTCCCCGCACCGGTTTGCTTTGCAACACGGCACGGTCTTCTTCTGGAATTTTTTCCCTTGATCTTTTGTTCCTTGACGATTTGAGCACTTGTACTGAGGTACCAAGGTATCCTTTCATAAACTAACTAGTATTAACTGAATCGCTGTTAAAGCCAAATATTGCCTACAATAATTCATTATGGCACCCTTATACCTCGGTACTAGACGTTGAAATTATTATTCTATCTCTCGTGTAAGAAGCCTTATTATGTGTTGCATGATCATAAACTCTCAATTATAAGGCGCCGTAGCCACTCAAGTTATTGACCTAGTGTACTGAGGTCGACTGTGCATGCATGCACCCCTCGACATAGCTAGTTATTACCCATTTGCTTTGTACTTGAAAGGAAGTTCAATAATAATAGATCACTTTAATGCTATTAGTGTTAATTCAGAGAGGAATCTCGACACAGTGTACCAAGGTACGTACCACCAAAATGCCCATCCGCACACAATGATCCACCTCGGGCATTGTGGTTCGTTCCAGCCAGACCAGCTAGGCTGATCGCGTGCCGTTGCAACCACCTTTAAAGCTTCGGCTGCCATCGACATTTCAGTAGTACCTGCTGCCCCGGCCCACCCAAAGCTCTTCACACACTTATCTTTGCATACCGCAGTCAGCCACCAACTTCTATCTCTTAAGTCACCAGCGCAGCATCTTCAATTATGAGCGGACGTAAGTGATACTGCTTCAAATGCTTTGCAATTGCATAAATAACTCATAATTGGATAACAGGCGGAAAGGGCGGAAAGGGTCTTGGAAAGGGCGGTGCCAAGCGTCACCGAAAGATTCTTCGTGACAACATTCAGGGCATTACCAAACCTGCCATTCGACGTCTCGCGCGTCGAGGTGGTGTTAAGCGTATCTCGGCCAGTGAGTACACCCCTACCCCCTTTTGCTTTTCTTCTCTTCACCTCCTGTGGGACTATTGCTAAGTGGACCAAGTGATCTATGACGAGACACGCGGCGTGTTGAAGTCTTTCCTAGAAGGCGTCATTCGTGATGCGGTCACCTATACAGAGCATGCGAAGCGGAAGACCGTAACGTCGCTTGATGTTGTTTACGCATTGAAGCGACAGGGTCGTACTCTTTATGGCTTCGGTGGTTAGAGGATGCTATGTTTTCACACTTTTACAACGATTTGTTAACGATTGATACGAATTCGGGGGTTTCGCGTTTGGTAAATTGTAATATTATATTGTCTTGTGCTCTTTGCGGGTTGGCGGGTTTGGTTCGTTTTTCCATGGGTTACATTGAATTGTCAACACAATTTCATCCCTTTCTCAATTCCCAACCAAGCACGAAGTATTAGCTTTGAGCGTACTGCTCAGTCTCGGCGCTCTCGCTCTCTGATGGTGACTATCACGTGGCGGAATAATACGGTATTTAGTATTTATTTTGTTGCGCACTCCCATAATACTTGTATCTCGCGCTTCCGGTTTCTCCTTCGACGCTTGTGAAGGCTGAGGCCGCCGAGGAGGTGCTAGAACACGTGACCATCACAGAGCACTGAAAGTACATCGTCATATTGCTGGAATGGGCTTTTGTCGCTCCAGCCTGCTTTGACTTGGGGCGATATTGGGTTAGCAAAGGGGATAGACGGTCAGTCTCCATGCCTCGAGCTGCGCTCCTCAAGCCCCGTAACTTGATATCAATCTTCTTCAACACTCGCTTCAGCGACCTAGTAATCACACTATCCGCATCGAGGTATAGTCCAACCACAACGCTTGCAATAAAACCTTTTAAGGAAAACCCTTGCTCGGCTCGAGAAAGCCCCGTCAAGAGGCCTGAAGAAGCTGGCTTCTCTCAATCGAGACTAATTTTGGTTGGAGGGTTTTTTTTTTTTAAACTACTCAAGGGGATGGAAAAGGGGGCCCCAGCCCCAGAGACTACTGGTATTTTGAAGGATGAAAATTTGCTCCAAGCGAGCGGCGGTGCCCGTACGTGGTGGCTGGAGCATCCGAGGGCTGCAAGTTCTTCGCGGTCGTTCCTGGCCCCGACCCGAAGGACTGGGCGGCTCTTGTATAAAAATTGGATCACTGATAAATAGGCCGTATCCGGCCGCTCCTCAAATCTCGATACCTCCACGCACTGGTCGGCTACAGGTGGCAGTTAGGCACCGGAGGACTCCGATCGGCCCCACCGAACCTCGGCCTCAACAGTCGTTCTGAGTCATGGGTGGTACCACAAGTATCCAATCACACGGCCAACTCGCACCACAGAGTGCGGACGGGAAAATTCTGTTCCCAATTTTTCTCATCAGTGAGGAAGCACACCTCTTTGCCGTTTTGTTGCTGGGAGGCCTGGCCCCCTTGTACCCAGTAAGTCGTAAAGTCCATTAACACAATACAACAGGTCATGCTCTAGATATTTCGAGTACCATCACAACGTTTGCTGGGTGATGACACACAATTGATAAAATTTTTTATGCCAATTCTTTTTTTTTTTTTTTACAGACCAGACAGGGAACGCCGTGTAATAAATTTCCGAAGAAGAGAGAATATTTTTAGACAGGCTGTAATAGGAGGGAAACTATTTTCGAGGAGGGGGCAGGTTGAATATGAAAGAGAGATGTAGAAAGGACGGCAACAGAGGGAAAATTTTGAAAGACAGTCGCTGAACAATGACGCATGATGAACGGCGGCTCGATGAAGCGAGGAATCGCTCAGAATTACAAGGAATGACAACGAAAGACCAGGATTGGTGATGGGAGGGTGGTTGAATTCTGAGGTGACTGGTGTGACTGGTGTCATGGGCTGTCATGCTCTGGCAATGATTAGGTCGGTTGTCACTACAGAACACTATTTGAGAGCAGATCGCCGCCTTATTTGTGGAGCCGGCATTAATAATGCGGGTCCAAAGGAACCCCGGCTCCAAGCAAGAGGGCATCGGAGTTTCCGTAGGCAAGGGCGCCATCGCTGTTAGACAAGCCGAGCCCTCCAAGCGAAGTCATCACTGGTGGCATGAGTACATAAGACCGAGACAACCCCAACTTTTGCCACCTGAATACTCGAACGAAATTCCACCAAACCACACCCGTATATTCACCATTTTATCTCTCAAGATGTTACAACCTAAACATACCTCCCATCAAATCTCACCCCGCTTTACCGGTCGTCCTCCCAACCGTACCTCTTCCCCTACGACTTTGGCCCCGGCGAACTCGTATTCGATGTCCCGATCTTCTGAACGCAGCCCCGAGACTATTGCTCCGTCGACGAGGCCTTCCACATTCACAGTCCCAAGAAGCATGGAATCACCCATTGACCAAACGGTTGACTTCCAAGCCGGCAATCTCTCGGAGTTCCTCCCTCCAAACAAATCGTGGTGGTGGTCGAAGGATACCTGCCTAGCAAAAGAGTCGGCTGGCCGTTACTCCCATCATCGAGAGTCTTCACTCACCTCCACCCTAGGCTCAACAGGTCCGAACTCTCCGTGTAGCCCAAACATCTCAACCCCACAAATTGCTGCGGCAGATTCGGTGGACGATTCTTGTGACGGACATTCTGGCAGCCCTTGGAATTATCATTTCACCGCCTCTGATCCAATCCCGCTCCAGCAAGATCACTATCTCTATACAGGCCCACAGCTCCTCGGGCTTCAGATGAGCAATCCGAACACAAAAGTTCCATACACAATGAATTCATACATGGGCAACCAGTCGTATAGACCTCCAAAAGCCTCAGATGTGCAAGCACAACATCAAAGCCAGCCCCGAACTCCCAAGGGCTTCGCTACGCGGCAGCTGGGCCATTATGCACCCGACGGCGATCTAGAAAACCGGCGCCGAGGTAAGCAGAACCGACAGAGACTCCCCAGTTCTATACCGTTTGGAAACTCACAAGGATTGGATTGTCTAGTCATCCCCGATGTGCCAAAGCTAGATCGAACAATGACTGATGTCTATAACGATGGATTGTACAACCCAAACTTGGATATTGTTGCATCTAGCTCTGGTAATTCCGAACGTCAACCACCGACAGCAAATAATGTCTTTTCACATCTCAATACCGGTACCAGCACTCTTGCTTCTTCATCCCCGGGCTGTCATAATGGCTCCGATACACCCCCAAATCACAGTCACCTCCATCCCCCAAGGCGCTTACAACGTTGGCACCCTACGGCAAAATGCCGCCCCTCGAAGCGTAAGCGAGGTCAATTCACCCCAGACCATCTCCCCTCAGGACTCGCTATTAGACTTCGCCGATGGGGATTGCACCAAGAACTTTACCTTGTTCCCCCGGGCAGAGTCTAGTCGCTTCGGCGGTATGAACCAGCTCACAGATGAAGAAGTGTCGTTGGGGCAGTGCGAAAGCAGCACCCCACAGTATCTAGTTGACGACGAGGCCATCGGTTCCGCCCATTATCTGTCGCCTGGGACATCAGGCGTATATGGCCTACACAATCTCTCTGCATTTGGAGCCCAGCAACATCTTCAACCCACCATTACATTTGAAGGTCGTGGCAACGCAAGCAACGCTTCCAGAACTTCCAGAGGACGTCTAGGGAAAGTGAGGACGGGGGCACGTATAGCTGCACATATCATGGTTGCATGCTTCGATTTGATACACCTGCGCTTCTGCAGAAACACAAAGAGAAGGTCATAGACAGGCTGGAGGCTTAAAGCCAACCCAGCGTGGGATGAAGGGAGCGGTGATGGATACTCAAGCCGGACCTCACCGATGTTATCGCATCAATCCTGGCACTGGGAAGATCTGCAGGGCGGTTTTCTCCCGGCCCTATGACCTCACTCGGCACGAGGATACCATTCACAATGCACGGAAACAGAAGGTGCGGTGCGATCTTTGCACGGAAGAAAAACTCTTCAGTCGTGCGGATGCCTTGACAAGACACTATCGAGTGTGTCACCCGGATGTCGAACTACCTGGAAAACACAGGCGAAGACGGAATATGAACTGAACTGAGATCAATCCAACACAATTCCTCGATTGAGGGGATCGAGGGGATCGCAACTGGCCGCGCCCGCTCCAGCAAGAAGCCTACGTCATTCCACCCGACAAGGAACACCTGCGTCATCTCCTCATCCCTTGCCCCACCTCAGCAGCGATTGAGCTCCAGCCATGCAGGGTCCAGGATCATAACGTCATCAGGGGCGGAACTGACACAGATGATCCGTTTTGATTGGTCACCCACCTTTCCACCACACAGCCTTTTTTCTCAATGACGTCATTTCAATCGATATCCAAAGGGCATCAATTGTTCCCCATCCACACAACGTCATTCATACAACCTGCCTGATGCCTCCAGGACCTCCTTTTCTCCATTTGCTTTTTTAGCCAAGGGTTTCATTTCACACAGAAATTTCTGCCACACACTAACCCGAGTTTTATTGGCCTTACTTGTTCATTTCTTTTCCTTACCGAGTTTTATTGGCCTTACTTGTTCATTTCTTTTCCTTAGATATACGACCATGCCAATGTGGCGTGACGAATTGTACACTACCTATAGATTCATTGCCTACGCCAGGATAACGGAAGTGGCGCTCCTTGTTTGAAGTTACGATAGATATGATGACGACATTGTTAAACACGGCGTTACAATAGAGGTTAGGGCTTTGTATCATTTTGCAATATTGAACAAACTGTCAATATCGAAATAACCATAGATAGATATCGATAAAAATAATACTAGATATAAAACAAAATATTCGCAAGTTGGGGTTCTAGGGCAGAGTGGAACCTTGCAGTTATTCCGTTACACACAAACAAATTATGGCGCAGGCCCATCAATAACAAGTTTTCTTGCGTCAGAATATCTAGGGGTTATTCCAGTCCAGAGTTGAAACTAGCAGATGGTTAGATTGACTTTAGACAGAAACGATATGCGAACTTACTTGATACCATCCCTGCGATGCTAAGACTTCAAGCCCGGGTATCGTTACCCAGCCAGATTGGGCATCGTCAGCGAGCTGCATGAGGGGTGTTACTGCTGGTTTATATGCCATATCCAAGAGAACTTTGTTCCTTGTTGAGGACGAGTCGTCTCCGACGACCGCAGCCAGTATTTCGCGCATGGAAGGCTCAATTGCTCGATCAGCAGGTATCGTGCTGATTATGACACCGAGCCTCCGCCGGTCTGGAGATTCAATAAACTGCTCAGGGCTCACCAGATGTCGTAATTCGAACTCTCCACCGAACGATGAAGCGAGTTCTTGAAAGCGGTGCGAATTTCGAGCCACAACGTAGATGGGGAAATCCCGAGGGAATTCAGTGCGAATATGGCAGCACGCGAAGTCCCTCCGGACCCAACAACCATGCCGACAGAGTCCTGGGGGTCGCCCGGTGATTGGAATTGCAGCCTGGTCGCCTTTAGAGTATGGACAATGCCCATCCAATCAGTGTTATCACCTCGGATTGAGCGACGAGTGGTATCTTCATCTCGAATGGGAATGAGAGTGTTCACTGCGCCTATCACTCGGGCAGCCTCAGTTACCTCATCCACCAACTCAAGAACATCCAGTTTGAGGGGAATAGTCACGGAAGCACCTCCAAAGCTATCGGACGCTATGAGAGTCTTAAGATCTGTATAGTCTTCCGTCTCTAGGAGAGAATAGCTATGTGGAAGACCGACCAGTTTGAACAAGCCATTATGTAACACGGGAGACCTTGACGCAGATATCGGAGAGCCAAAGAGATAGAATTGACGTTGCTCAATGCCCCTAACAGGGAGAGTGATTGGCGGATTTCGGCGGCTGACATCTGACCAGGGGCTGCTTTAGAGTCCAGGGCGGGGTGGGAAACCGGCGTCATAAAGCGATTGAGAACACGACTCAACTTGCCATGCTGTCCCATATTTAGGGCGATTATTGGCGTCTGATGACCGGAAGCTATCCTTTTCACGAATCTGGCTAGCTCAAAGTTGTCCTCCATTCCGGTTGCCGAACCTATAAGCTTGATAATATCGCCGTATTGCAAAGCCTTGTTGTAAAATTGCACCCAGGCAGCGTTTCGCCACGAAAGATGCCCTTTAGGGTCGTGGTGCGAAGCAATGATCCGAGAATGCGCTTTGGTAGCGACCACATGTTCAATGATCTCCGTGGGCAGAGTAATTTCGACGTCAATGTATTCAACCGCCATTCGGATTGCCGACAGGTATAATTCCTTCATCTGCAGCTGCGCAGTGTCCGGGAATCGTCCTCCCTGAGAAACAGTCCTAACCGTGAATACGATGGGAATATTGGCAGTGGCACGAAGAAGCGCCACCTGTCTCTCGACGAACTCCACTGATTGTTCTCTGAGCAAGTCTACTCGAAGCTCAACAGCGTCAGCTCCCACAACAACCGTGGGGATAATATCAAGAGCGGCTTCCACATCGCCCATAGTGAGCGAGACGAAAAAGCTCTGTGGCTTGTGTATGATGTGGCTGAGATGGTGTGTACTCTGCCCAATTCTTGTGATGTACTTTTCAAAGTCTTGCGGAACTTGAATTGTGACACTATTGTTCTGAAGGTTGGGAATGAAGTATTGAAGATTGCTGCACTCTTCGTACCACGGCCTTCGACGGTAGAAGACTCCCGGTATGTTTTCCGTATATGCGGGGCGTGATTTGTCCAAAGATAGATACGCTACGATATCCTCAAGGCGACGATGAACCCAGAGGACATGACCGCCATGCTTATAAAACGAGACAAGAAGCGACCGAGCCTCAGCGGTCTCAACCACGCCACCCCCACAAGAAACGACCAAATCACGGCCTTTGTGGTTCATGAGATCTTTCAAAACGTGCAGTTCGGTTGCCCTAAAGCCTTCCCAACCACTTGTCCCATTGATAATCTCAGGTATAGTGGCGTTGGAACGACGCTCAATCTCCTCATCCATATCAACAAAGTCATGGCCTAGAACCCGAGCGGCCCATCGGCCAATCGTGGTCTTTCCTGCGCCCCTCATGCCGATGATAAACAGGGTCCGGGGTTGCGTGGCCACGGGTATTAATGCTTCTTTATGTGATGGTTGGATATCGACTCCACTCAGCCCAGCATTGAACTGTAGGAGAGCGCATCCCACCAGCCTGGCCAAGTCTTCCCCACGCACTCCTTTCTAGAATCAAAACCGGCTTGGGGCAGGCAAGGAGAGAACACTGAAACTCATCGCTACCCGGTGGTCATCGTAACAGTAAACACCACCATGAGGCTCTTGCAGTTGCTGCGTAAGGATACCGTCGACTTCAATTCCATCATCGAGCTCTCGTGCAGTGACACCAAATTTGGCAAGCTGGTGCTTCATAGCAAGAATACGATTGCACTCTTTGACTCTTTGGTTTGCGATCCCTGTGATCTGGGTTGTGCCGGTCGCTACAGCCGCTAAAACAGATGCAGTGAGAAAGGCGTCCGTCATCGGCTCCATATCGACGTGACGCAGAGCCTTGAGTTGCCCCAGAGGGGGCCGGTGACAGTGGTCGAGTGGCTTGTCTGCTTTACAGCACATCCCATGGGGCGCAGAACATCAACAGCAAAACGTGCATCCCCTTGGAGCGATCCCGAGCCGATATTTGGAATGGTACATGTTGTTCCGGTGATGGCCGCAACTGCCAAAGGGTAGGTTGCAGAGCTAGCGTCGCTTTCAATTATATATTCGGAAGGACTCTTGTATACACCATTGGGAATGTGGTACGTGTTGTCTTCGGTCCGGGATTTATGCACAGTGATACCAAATGCGGACATCATTGAGATTGTCATATCAATGTACGTCTGTGATATTGGTTTCCCGCCGACAAGTCGTAGAGTAACTGCTTCCTTTGCGTAGGAGCGGCCATCAATATAGAAGACACATACTGTGAGGAAACGGTTGCAGCCAATTCAATCAAGCCTCCCGCAAACCCGCCAGTAGCGTCAATTTCGAGGAAGGCTGCGATTATCTCCCAGGTACTTGATATTTACCCCGTTGGACTGAAGGGCCTCGACCAGAGGTCCTATCGGGCGTACCTTCATTCTTTCATTGCCAGTGAGAGTGGTGGAAAAGGCAGTATCTGACGGTTTACACATGGTGACGACGGTGGTGAGGAACCTCGAGGCAGTTCCGGCATTTCCAAGGTAAAGAGGGTTGGGGCTGGCATGGAGGTTACCGCCGTTACCACGGACAACAAGAACCTCACCGCCATCTTCCCAGGTGTAAGAAGCCCCTCCAAGACTAGCAATAGCCGCTAACATATATTCCGTATCATCTGAGTGAAGTAGGTTCTTGACGCGGCAAGAGCCTTGCGCCAGCGCGGCGAGGATTAAAGCACGATTCGAGATACTCTTTGATCCCGGAGGAGTGACAACGACATTGGAGTCTTTCAATATGCCAGGCTTCACACGTACTGCTGGGGAAAGCACGACACGGATCGCCGAGTCATCAACTGCTGTTGCTTTCTGCTCAAAGGTTTTTCCAATAGCCGAAAGAAGAACGATCTTTTTGCTTCGGCCTTCATTCTTCTTATCAACGGCCATCTTCTCTAGAAGAATGTCAACTGGGCAGGGTTTTCCTGCTGTTAGATCTATCACACGCTTGTTGTCGAGAGAGGTCGGAAGACCATAACTAGCAATGCATTTGGTAAGTCTTGCGACGGCGCCGGGACTCAACATGCCGAGGTGCCGGGCCAACTCTGCCTCCTTGACCATTCCTATCGCCACAGCCTCGCCGTGGAGAAGCTGAGGGGCAAGGATTGCTTCGATTGCATGGCCGATAGAGTGGCCAAAATTCAAAAGATTTCGTAGGCCACTTTCCTTCTCATCACTAGAAACAACTTCCGCTTTGACACTTGCTGACCCAATCACGATCTCCTTCAACAACGATTGTATTGTAGATGGTAGTGAACGCATCGTACCATCTTGTTTCTTTCGTGCTTGGATCGTCCCAAGAATCAAAGCGGCATTTTCCTCTAAAGTGTCAAAGGCTTCTTCGTTGCGGATTGCAGCAGTCTTGATCACCTCCGCCATTCCGTTGATGAATTCTCGAGTCGGCAATGTTTCGAGGAAATGCAAATCGATATAGATGCGCACAGGTTGCCAAAAGGCCCCAACAAGATTTTTCCTACTGGTGTATCAATGGCAGTTTTGCCTCCGATGGAGGAATCAACCATTGCCAACAATGTTGTCGGAACTTGGACAAAACGAACCCCTCTCATGAATGTAGCAGCGACATAACCAACCATATCGCCGATAACGCCTCCACCGAGGGCTATGATGACAGTGTCGCGTGTGCATTGTTGTAAGAGCATCCAATCCTCAATCTCTGCTTTTGTCTCGCGGCTTTTTGACCCCTCTCCAGGGGGAATAGCATAAGTTAATAGCCGTGGAGTTATTGTAGAAGATGCATTTTCGAAGGCTTGATTGAGAGACTCTCGGAAGGTGGGCACATAGGTGTCATAGAGGTTTGTATCTGTGATGAGCACATAGGTGGAAGTGGGAAGGTGTCGCAGAAGGTCCTCTGGAATAAATGTTGTCCAAATATTAGTATGAACAATAATTGATTCCTTTCCTAAGATTGGTATTTTAGTCAGTTGTCCTTGATTTGATGTAGCCATCTTAGATCAGAAGAGCATAAAAATGAAGGAGAGGTATGAATAGTAAAGTTATTGAAAAGTGTGATAGAAATTCCTGGAGAGGTTTTTAAAAAAAAATCGCTAAGCTCATACATGAGCTTTCCTAACGATGACTCAGTTACATGTTAGGGTGGGGGAGGGGCTGGATAGTGGGGTCTGCAAGGGTTGGGGTGTTACTCATACACTACACCACCTCAGGTAGTGCTATCTACCCTAATATAAATACTACCCTATAGAAATCTAATACATTTTAATTATATTAATATTATTTATTATAAAAGATAATATTATTATATAGACTTTTTCTTACTAATTTATATAAAGGTTAAATAAATATTAAAGTTAATTTAAAAATATATATCACCTACTTTTTATTTACTATATAAAGAGAAAATATTAAATATAAAAGAAATATATATAAGATAATTATATAATTTATTTAATATATATAAATGTAGTAGTTAGATAGTATAAGAGTAGGTAGTTATAAGCTACTTTATTAGAAGGAGCTTTATTAATAAGATAGTATAATCTATCTACTTAAATAAGTATTATCTTAGAATAACGTTATATTAAATATTAATTTTGTTATATTGAGGCGCTACTAATTTTTAACCGACATAAGCTTGTCTTCCATCAATGAAATCGTAGCCTCGTGTAAAGACGGAAGGTACAAGTATGGCAGTAACAGCAGAGTGAATGCCGCTAAGCCTACCTCGGTAGTAAGTTAATTCAAGCGACCACGGTTCCACTGGCACCTCCTCCGGGGAGAGAGTCGAGCATTGACGCTTAGCGGTGCCGCCCGCGAGATCGATGGAACACATGGCGTCGCCGAAGTATCGCGATACGCCAGATGAGGGAAAGATGGGGGTCCTAGGGTCTGTATCCGTCGCCTGGGCTCATTCGTCCTCCCGCTCGGCGAACTCGAAATATCTTAGTGATGGACAAAAAGCTATCTCCACCCCAAGCTTTCGTAGCCGGTGCCGCATAACCAAGCCGACCGCACCCTCCTCATCCTGCTGCCACTTCGCACGCCCCCAGTCGAAATCCGACTCGTCCCCCTGTCGCAGCCGGCTCTGCCCAAAATCGATCATAAATACCCGATAGTCATGACAAGGAGTATCTTTGCGCTTGTGGATTGGGTTTACAATAAAATTATCTGGGCGTACGTCGGCATTGAGGATCTCTTCATCTCCTAAGATGTGGGTGATCCGAATGGCTTGGTTGATAATATTTTGCCAGCTACTTTGTGGCGCCTGAGAGATGAGATTTGTGAGGGTAAAGCCTTCGATATACTGTAGTAGGATTCCCTTGATCTGAAACGATGTTTGATCCTGGTTGTTGACCTCAGTCATAAAACTACCATCCAGGAAGCCAGATGTGATTAGCTGTGGCACCAGCTTGCCCTGGACATTATGTAGTCTCTGGTAGACAGCAACTTCTGAATGATACATGCGGAGCATTTCGCTAGCTAGAAAGGCCTCGTTTTCGCCGTCACTCCAGTTATCTTCGCTTCGCGCCGATTTTCTTCGTAAAGGTGGTATAAGAAATCGTTATGGCTACCACCCTTAATAAAATTGATATACTCTGTTTGGGTGGTATGGGTCCATAGCCCAACACCTTGGTCGTCACGGAGCTGGCGCGCGAATCGCCAGTCGAAAAGTTTCAAGAACCCAAGCTTATCTGATAAGGGAGGCAGGTCGGTAGGTTGATTGCTTAGAATCTCAACTACCATACCACAGGAGAGAGTCCATGGCTGGTGTAGCTGTACGACCCGCAGTCTGAGGTTGAGATGGCCATCTGCATCCCACTTAGGGTCACGGTGGAGGGTGAGCACCTCCCCGATCTTGTAAGATGCTTGAGCGGGTAAAAGCTTGCCCTGATCGGCCATAAGCTGTGTCTATAGCGAACTAAGGTCTAAAGCCCGGAGCCGCCTCAGATATTAGGGTAGGTAGGTGGATGGTGATCCTATTTTGGAGCCCCTGGCTGTCGAAATAAAGACAGTGAAACAATTGTTGTCGCGGTGCATCCAGGAAATGCGAGAGCATCAAGTATCGAGGTAGAGAAATAGATAACGGGACTTACTTTGACTTTTGACAGCCAGCGCACTTTTTACATAATCAGCCCCATAGGGTACAATACCTACAAGATCAGGTCATAGAAGGCGGGACGCAGAGGAGGCGGCCTCAATTCTCGACTATCGTATGCGACCTCCAGGCGGATCTCGGCTGATTTCGGTGGATTGACCCCACACCGACCTATCATCAGGGTTCCATTTTGAAGCGCAGGGTTTGACATGCTGTATATGCCAAACCTCACAGGGGATTAGCAGTCTACCTTACATTTGACCAAAGCAAAAGCAAGGTATGAGGGATCACCATACTTATACCACACACCCCTACAGGGGGTGCTCTCCACCCTATTACAGAGACCACCCTAAAACAAAATCGAGCTTATCTTATTATAAAGTAAGGACGTGAATAAATAAATAGTAGTATAAGGATATTCTAGGTTCCTAGCTCTATTTAATAATATCAGTTTTATATCTATTACTAATATTACTAATATTTATATTTAAATTTTAAAGGGAGCCTAAAATATTTTTTAATCTTTAAAAACTACCTAATCAACTTCTAATCTAAATATTCTAATGTTACGACTATGACGCAGCGCTAGACCGCTGCGCCAAAAGGTGTGACCTGTAGAGAAGTGCTCTCTACAGGCGGTATCTAGCCCTATAAAGGTCAGAAGGCGTAACATCTAAAAAGTATAATAAAACAAAAAGCTAGATCATTATATAAAGGAAAAGACCTCTTATTAGTATCTATTTTCTAAGATAAGTTATATAATAATAATAATTTTGATACCTAAGTTATAGTACTTTTTAAAGTTCTATAGTAATTTAAAATTATAGAAATATCTAGTACTTATTTCTATATAGTAAAATACCCTCTTTATCACCCCCTCTAGTATCTAAGAGAATAAAGTAAGATTAGGTAAGGTATATACTTTTTAATAAAGTGATATATTTATAGTAAATATAGTTTTATTTTAGGGCGGTCTTAGAGGTCTTTATAATAGGATGGAGAGTACCCCTATAGTGGTATATAGTATAAGTAGAGCTTAACCCTGATCTAAAGTGAGGAATAAGAATAATAGTACTAAGGTAATATATAGGGATAAGGTAAATGGAAGATCAGCGATGAGTGAATTAAATTAGCGATAGTAAAGTAAATACCCTAGAGTTAGTAAATAACTCCCCCACTTTATAAAGGTTTTAAAAACTTAGTAATAGATTACTTTTAGATTATATCTGAAAACTATTTAAATCCTAGCTCTCCTATCTTTCCTATTTAGTTTAGTTTACTTATATTATATACCTTTATAAGAGCTACTCTATACCTAATTATAAATTATATACTAAAATAAAACTATATTAGCTACTAATATATTATTTTAGTAATAAATATAAAACTAATATTATTTTAAATAAATATATAAATATAAAATATTTATATATAATATATTTTTATTTAAACTTTTCCTCTATAATAATATATTAATCTTTATTTAAAAAAATAAAGATATTATTATATAAAATAAAAAGATAAAATATATATAAACTTTAAAAAAAAAAGGTAAAATAGATATTTATTTCCAATTTTACTAATTACTATCCCTTACTTTTTTCCTACTTTTTCTACCTTTTATAATAATCTCTATAAGTCTATTATCTCTTTACTTTTCTCTTATCCCCTTTTTTCTTCTTTATTTTTTATAGATTTCCCCTTTTCTTTTTACTATTCTATCTTTTTATCTAGCTAAAAGTCTCTATAAGTTTTAGGCCTCACTATATAATATACCACTTTTAATAGCCAGCACACTTTTTATATAATCAGCCCTATAGGGTAAAGTCATAGTATATCAACTACTAAGCTTAGTAGTAAGCCTAGTAAAAGTGCCCTATAGTTCTATACTAAAACACCCTCTACTACTAATAGAATAGGTCCTAATAGAATATTAAATTAATACTAAAAACACTCTAGCACTATACTAAGATACTAAAAATACTTCTAGTAGTACTATATTAAAATAGCTTCTAGTACTATATTAAAATGCTTTTTAATACTAATTAAGTATATTTTAAATTTAAAAGTATATAGAATATAGATTTTTATCTAGTACTAGAGGGTATTATTATACTTAGTATAGTTAGGCTAAGGATATATTAAAATATAGGGGGTCTAAGAAGTAGATAAAAAGGTGATCAAATTAAGAAACTATAAAAATTATAAGTAACTAATTTCTTATTTTTTATCTAATTACCTTAAAAAGTACCTTACTAATTACTATATACCCTTATAGATTAATACTAATCTAGGTCTAAGCTATTAGATTATAATTCCTATTACTTCTATCTTTTAATTTCTATTTTTAAAACTATATCCTATATTATTTTTCTAAGATATTATCTAATTACTTTAATAAAATACTTAAATTATTCTTTTATTAATATTTTTATAAATCTATCTATTATTATTTTTAATATTAAAATATAAAAAATAGAAATAAAGCTATTTTTATTTTTTAATATAACTAATAATTATAAATATTAATATACTTTAATTTTATTTAGAATTTTAACTAATTAATTATTACTTATTAGATAATTTAGATATTATTATAATAGATTTTAGTTAATATATTATTAATCTTTATAATTAGTTTTATAAGTAATCTCTTTATATAGATAGCTTTCTTTATTATTTATAATAATATTAGTAATTCTATTTTTTTAATTAATATAATATAAAAATCTTATTTATTTATTTACTAACTTATTAAACCTCTAAAAGAATTATAATAAATATTTATAAGCTTTTCTAATCTATAATATTATTAGTAAATAATATATTATTATAGATAAGAAATTTATTACCTCCTCTTAATTATAATAATAATAAGATATTTTCTTATAGATATATAAATATTTAGTTTACTATTAAATAATATTTATATTTTAAGTTTATTAAAAATTATAAAAATTATAATATATAAAAAGTAATATCTAACCTTATAATTACTATTATATATAAAAGGGAGTTAATTTTTATTAATATAATCTAATCTAATCTTAACTTACTATTCTTATATATAAAAATAATTCCTCTCTAATTATTAAGCTTTTACTTTTTAAAAAATATTTCAGCTAGCTTAGTTATCTTTTAATATAAGCTTTCTAGTTAAAGATTATCTATTAATTTAGATAATATTAGAGGATTTTAATATTAAAAAACTATTTAAATTATCTTTATTTATTATTTTATATTTTACTTTTAACTTATTAATTAATTAATATATAAATAATTTTAAATAAAGTTAATAACTAAATATAATATTATTAATATAAAAGAAAATAAAGATATTATTATTATTATTATTATACTATTTTACTATCTTTATATAATATATAATCTTTCTACTTTTTTATAATAATAAAATAAAAAACCTCTAAGATATTAAAACCTTTATCTTTTATTATCTACTTACTCTTATAATACCCTTATTATACTCTTAACTTATTATAAATCTACTTTTATTAATAATATATAACTATAAGTTTACTATACCCCTCTCCCCCTAGCTAAATAGTAATCTATCTAAAGTCTTATTATTATATTATATCTACTATCTCTTCTATTATTATTCTTTTACTATTTATTATATTAACCTTCTAACTTTTAATCTTTAATAACCTTATTAAATTTAATTATTTATCTATCTATTTTAGCTAAATAAAGCTAATTATAGTTATTTCTCTTTTATATATTTTTACTTTTAAACTATAGTTTATTTAAAAGCTCTCTTTTTATAATTATACTTTTTATAATCTCTTTATAGCTATATCTTTTACTAATCTCTTTATAATTACTCTTTCTATTAATCTTTTTATAATTATACTTTCTATTAGTTATCTTATAATTATATTTTTTACTAATCTTTTATATTATTATCTCTTTTTAAATAAGCTTAATAGCCTCTATTATTTCTTTACCTATTTTATTTTATATTCTTTCTCTTTTTATTTTATATTTTCTACTTTTTATCTTTATTTAATATTAATATCCCTTTTTATATAAAATATCTTTCCTCTTATTTATAGTTTTTCTATTTTTTATTTCTTTACCTTTTAACTTTAGCTATTTCTAGCCTTTTTATCTCCCCTCTTTTAGATAAAATAGGTTTAACCCTCTACCTTATAGTTTTATAGTTTTATAACTCTATCCCTCCCCTTTCTTATAAGCTTATTATTATTAACCTATTTAATAATTACACCTCTCTTTCTTTATATAGTAAAGGTTATTTATATAAATAGGTTTAACTTATTACTTTTAGTTTTTATAGTTATAGTAATTATAAAAAAAGAAATTCTATAATAAAAAAATAGTTTATATAAAATAGCTTTAAATCCTAATTTTATAGATATTTATAAAGGTATTTTTATTATAATAATAGTAATCTCCTTAAACTATAAAAGGCTTTATTTAGTTTAAAAACTATTCTACTTCTAATTTTTAAATATCTTTTTAGAATTTTTATATATACTTTTTTATCTAAGTTAATATTTATAAATATATTTACTATATCTAATTATTTTTAACTTAAGATTAAAATATATAGTAATTATTATTAAAAGTTTAAAAAATTAATAAATAAATATTAATATATAAATATCTTTTATTACTTTTTCTTATTAATTACCTTTTATTATAAGTTATATTTTATATTTTATAGATTTTCTAATTTAATTACTCTTATAAATATATATCTATATTAAATTAAATATTTCTTTTCTAATTATATAAGATATATTTTCTATTATCTATAATT